TCAGCTCTCACAGTACTGATTAGTTCCAGGACACATGGGGCATTGGTGGGGAAACAGTGCAGGAGATGACTGCTAGCTGGTTTCTGAAGAGACCAATGGAGCTGATAGCATATTCTATTGATTATACTATAGTGTACACCAGCATTTGCTGAGGTTACCATTGCCCTGAGAGAATGTCCCTAATGAACTAGAATGGTGATTTCTTGATTTGTGTTACAGCAAGGAGGCTTAGTGGTGCAAAATCACTGTTTGGCATTATTTGTTTGTTAACAAATCATTCAGTAGACCATGTGATACATTATGTAAGCATTGGTGAGCACCTCACCATGTTTTATATGTGTTCTCAAGGACTACATCCCCAGTACATATATCACAAAGTTACATAATTGTCCCAAAGAGCTCTCATTTTCATTTGGGTATTCTGTCATCATTTTCTATCCAAATATTATGTAATATGGCTCATTAGAGAGCCATGTCCAGCTGCTTTGATACATCCACCAACACCTTGGACTCAATAATGATAGTTCACTCACTACACCATGATTAATGAAAAGCATGCAAACATTGGGACAATTTTGAGCCACTGTATGTATATAGCATGCAAAGGCTCCTTCACTGGTACTGTTGCACTTGCTTCTGTACCTTGTGCATTAGCTGCATTGGTGTGCTAAGAGTGATGTCTTGCTTCTGCATGCAAGTTTGCCCACTTGGGTTGATGTTTGGACATACAAGCCATGCAAAGATTCTGTGATCCTGAATGTGCCCTCAAGGAAGCTGTGGCAAAATTTCAGTGAGGACCTCCTTAATCCAGATGTGTTAATCCATTGATGCCTGACCATGTTACAGTTTGTTAAAGGAGATAGGCTGATTCTCTCACTCTCTGATATTCATCATTAGCATTTATCCTGACACAGGCAAACTGGGAGAAGGTCACTGAAAATGACTGATGACTAGGTACATTTCTTCTTTTCATTCCATCAGCAACTTGACAAAATTTCTGAGAGTCTGATTTCCTCCTGACATTCTGATCATCAAAGAAACTGAAGTTCTGATTTCACTCCAGGTGTTTTGATGACCTGAGAAAATTTGATATCAGAACTTTAGAATTTCAGATCATCAAAATGCCAGAAGTGAAAATCAGAGCTTCAGAAATTTTGTCAAGTTGCTGATGTCCTGATTACCTTGCTCAGTTTATTCATGACTACCAGGTGACAACAAGTTCCTTACACAGATTATACCTGCCAAGTCTGTGACAAAGGTTGGAGGACTGAAGACCAAGGTGTGACAATCTGTGCTCTAATATGTTTGCTAGACTCCTGCACATGTGAGGTTGAAATCAGAGGTTGGAAGCCAAGGGGGTCAGATGTGAAAGCTGAAAGTCAACTTGCACTTAAGCCAGAGGGTTCAAGGGGAGACTGGTTTGATATTCAGACTGAGGTCTAAGTACAGGAGTAACTATGACTTATAGACCAAGGACCAGTGACCCAAAGACTGAGGTTACCAATGGGTCACTAAATAGCAGTGTAGAGTGTCAAGCTTAAAGGATAACCAAGAGTGGAAGAAGTCAAAGAGCAAGGTCCAATGATAGGTACTGCCCCAGTGCAAGCAAGTGCAGTGCAGAGAGCTAATTGGAAAGAAAGCAAAGGAAACTAAGTGACACTGACATTCAGCTTAAGGCCAGTGTTCACATCCCAGGGCCAAAGTGCCAAGTTTTCAGCATATGACAATACCTCACTTGTACACCCACCTAATATGCAAGCCTTGGGAGAGGGGAATATTAAGATCTAGGTAGTGGCATTTGAGGTAGAGTCATTAGGATTGCCAAGAGTGTAGATCATACAGTTTACCACTGAACCTATCACATAAAATCATGCTTTGGCTGAAAGGAGGGAATAAGGAGAGATGAATATGTGAGGTAGGGGGCTTGACATCCCTACAGCAGTTTGAGCAGCTCACTGCCTTCCAAAAATATACCCCTCATGACACATCAAGTGTGTCATATATGTATGTTGATACAGCATTTTGCTCATTGGGTGACACAAATTGGGAGTGAGGGTGGTGAGGATGCAATTATTCCATGGAGGTGGGGCCACATTGTCCTGGCTATTGCTAACAGAACTGTATTTTGGGGGATTTTCTGCAAATTGTGATGATTTGCATAACACAATGTGTATCATGTAAGTGAGAATGTCTGTAAATATTTGTTACTGATACATTGTATGCAAGTCAGAGCAAAACTAAACAACTGCATTGAAGCATTGCTGCCACTTGTTGCCATGAACAATCTGGCTTAAGTCCAATTCTATTCCACCCTTTGGGATGACCACAGTGTTCCACATTGAATAAAATTTGTTCCAGAATGTTGGAGGTATCCAAAGTAACAATCTCCCTTTTGGACCTCTGATCCAGCCATCATTGAAAAGTTTGACAGGTTCATACTTCAGATGCACATCTTCCTCCAGAATGCCATCAAGGAATTGTTGAGTGTCACACAATGCATGCAAAGAGCATGATGAAAATTGAATTAGGAATGCTGCAATAGATTTGAGTTAGCTGAATAAAGTCAGAGGACATAACAAGTGGAGCTACTCACAACTGATGACCTTTGGAGGAACATTTACACCACCTGGGTTTGAGGGAACACATGTTACCTGCCCATCTTCATGGGCACAAGCATCTTGCACCCCAATCTCTGACTGCACATCAATCCTCTTGCCATCAGAGGAGAATCCAACTGAGAAGACCCTATCAGTATGCCCCTCAAGAGGGCCACCAATCTGGACACCTCTCTCAGCATCCCAGATCCTCACAGTCTTGTCCCAAGAGCCTGAGACAATCCTCTTGCCATCAGAAGAAAATCCAACTGAGAAGACTGACCTAGTGTGTCCCTGCAATGCAACCTGAGCAGCTGGCCATTCCTTTTGCCCTCCTACAGCAACACTGACAAGGTGTGAAAATTTTGGCATGAGCATTCTAGAAAGCTTTGTGTTTGAGGGTGTAAAAGGCAATGCAGAAATATAAAGGTGTGGGGTGCTGTAGGAGATGACACTCCCAAAGTTCTGCACAAATTTGATCCCATCTTGTGCTAGCATCAGGGCATCCTCAACATCCTCCTTGCCCTTGTATATTATATTAGATAACATTATGCACAACACTGTTTCACCCACCTGTAGCCATGATATAGTAGAGGCAAGAGCACTTGTAGCATGTCCAAGTCCATCAAGCAGACACAATACCTCAAGCCAAAATAGCAGCCTTTCACATCCAACAAAAGTCTTTACCAGCATTGCAAGTCTTGAATCGTAGTCAGCTCTCTGCAGATGGTGTGCCCAGTATTGACACGAGTAGGATAGATGAGGTGTGATGTTTTTGCTAACTCTCTCCTCCAAATCAGCAACTTCCGAGTTACAGGAGTAGGAACTTTCCAATCCACAGATGTTGAATTTCAGGTCATTGCAGAGGGTGTGCAACGATGCAAAGGCGAGGCTACAATGAACACCAATGCTAGATGCACCAACAAAGTATTCCCCACTTCGCGAACGATCATTGAGGAAGTCATAGAAAGATGCATGCAGAGGTCGGACAACAGTGCACCTGTCTGATATCCCACTCAATAGCGGTGCCATAAATTCGAGAATGATGATCATGTTGAAATGGTCTTCCTCCGACGGGAAGTGACTGCGCATCTCATTTAAGGTATCCAATCGCAGAGGTGCGAACGTTGACATGACCTGATGCATCACGGAGCGGAACCGTGCCAGCGTGGTCTCGTCCGGGGGTACCATATCCTCCAGGATTGTTTTGTACATGACATCCAACAGGGTCCCCCCACCTCCGACACGAGGGAAAATGATCTCATTGTAACGCTCCATGACCGTTCGACCCGGCCTATTCGGCTTAATGAATCTGCAGGCTAGACGAGCCCACTCGAACAGACCATCCGACTTCTGAGCAATGGCCTGGACCTCCGGGGCTCCGATCTCGGGAAGACCTCGAAGCTCGGTGGAAACATATAATCGGATGTCGCGGTCTACGGATACTGCAGAGATGGCGTCCAACGAGGTGGCTTTAATATGCGCAGAGGGACTGAGAACACGTTCGATGTCTGGCAACGGCCTGGACGTCAGAAGGATGCGGAAATTGGAAGGCAGATGAGCAGCTTCCGGAGAAGTGAGAAGAGATAGGATGTGCTCTCGAGATGTGTCCGGCCCGCTTTCATCCAAGGCATCAATCACCACGACCACGTTCCCAACGATCTCCCCATTGACTTTGGACAACGGCTCCAAGATAAGTTGCTCCCACTGCTGTACCACGTCTGGAGTGGTCTTGAGGGAATGGTCCTTTGACACGGCCTCCGCCAATGCTCGCCGAAACGCTGGGTCACGATCAGCCAGATCACGAGCAATCGTGGTCAGAATTTTCTCCTCGCGGCGTTCAGCCTGCCTGTCGCGGGCGAAGCAAAAGCAAGATCCGAGTCCTCCTACATCTTTGATCCACGACGCAATTGTATGAGCAATGGCTGATTTCCCCCTTCCCGCCTGTCCGTGAAGCCACAAGATGCGAGGAGCATCTATGTTAGGATCGTTGATCCAGTTGATGATTTGCTGTAAAATCTCCTTCCTTGTACCGTCGAGGCATTTCTTCGTTTTGTTCAGCCCCGCGCCCCCTGCATAAGCCATACCATCGAGATTCAAGTCTTCAAATATGCGGTATGTGTTAACCTGAGTGTCCCGGATGGCGCGGTCGCGGTACTGTTGCATCAAGTTGTCTAGAGTGTTAGAGTAGCCATTCACGACAGTCTGCGTCTCGGAGAAAATGTTCTTCGCAGTTCTTTTCCCTGAGGGCATATTATGTCAGGACATGGTAACCAAGACAAGGATAGGACCTACAGAAGCTTTTCGTTGCAGAATAGCTGCTGATAAACTGCGCAGAGTCGCTTATCGCTCGTGCAATCTTCGCAAGGGTATCTTTCATTTCGTCGATTTTGTTTATGCTATCTTTTTCCGTAAGGAATTCGTAAACGCTTTGCACCTTGTCGAGGAGATCGGACACCGCCTTGTCTACATTCGCTTGATTGATGAGCAACTACAGACGACTACGTGAGACGCGAAACGCCTATGATGAGCAGCCACGAACCTGAGCGGCAGAGGTTAAGATTCCTAGCGCAATCTGGGCGTAGGGGTGGACCTGGCGCACGCATGCAATCATTGTATGGATACAAAAAGTGAAATCCTTACGTTGGCGAGAGTGGAAACGACTTGATTGAAAACTTTGAAAGGTTTGAGATACGTATCACTCAAATTTTGAATCTCGGAGAATGTGGTATTGGCGTTACCGACGGCAGCGACAGCACCTTGGGCGACACGCGGAATGGGATCGATGCAGCCAAAACTTTCCACTGCAGCATCGACATCCTTCCCAGCCGACGTTGGCGCGTGTTGAGGCTCGGGTTTAGCGATTGACTTTTCGACCTGTCGGCCACAATCACTTAACCATCATAGCAGCTGCACATCACAAAGCACACACATTTTTGGTCGAAACTGTCTGAGATGTCTCCTGTTGGGCTTGAGCCCCACCGCCAGAACTTGTGGCCGCGGCCTGTTAAGCGAATCACTCAGCATCATCGCATTCAATTGGATATGGTAGATCACATACATCCAGATCTGGAGCCGCTTGGGACTGTTCCTGTGCCTTCTGAACTCCCCCACTGGAGCCTGGACCAGCAATTTCTGCCGCGATGGTAGTTGAAGAACCTTGGTTCGATCGATTGAAGAAGCGTTTCATTCTGGCGAGCATACCCGGAGAGGCCATGCCTAACGTTGCAGGTACAGAGGCGAGATCCCCTGCTCGAGCCTCAGAGCGTCCTGGTGACTATTTTTTTTTGCATTTTGATAAATACATTTCTCAGAAGAAGCGATAGCTACATACTGAAGCAAGGCCGGAGGTGGAGTTGGACTGGTTTCACAAATCCCAAGAGACGGACGTTTCTGTGACTGTGTTCTAGCCATCGAGAAATGGATATCACTGTAATTTCGCGAGTTTGAGCTTTGGTTTGAGGTTGAGGATGCTAGTTGAGGTGGTGGTAACTGTCAGTTCGAAATTAGGCGCCTTCAACACGTTGCAGCTGGTGCACGGACCGACTGCCAGATTTAGAGTGCATTGCCCCTGTGTTTCTGCTGGTCTGCTCTATGATCCTCGCTCCGAATGACATCGATCCCATGCCAACCAGACCAGGTGCCCTCGTCGATGACTTCTTCGGCACTCGCCTCTGTACCGTCCCTGGCGCCAAGCTCGACTCATTCACCGGGTCCATCACCACCCACCGTCTTCACTTCCAACATGCAGCTCGCTACATTCGTGAATCATGATCCCGAGGATTGATGCCAGCGATGGTCACGAGCAGATCACCATGACGGACGTTGCGCTGCGGCTCGCCATGGGTTTAGAAGCAGGTAGTATGACTTAGTCGCAAGCGCAGCGAGGGCAGATAACTACGGAGAATTGGATTTCATTATCGAGCCGAATGGTTCGAAAGGTACATGTGAATTTGGCGCCTTTGGTGAGACGTTTACCTGATGACTTGAGGCCTACAATGGGGATGACAACCCTCCTTGGACATGTTATGCTGGCTCTCGGACAGATGTTATTGTACAGAAACAACATGTTGTAGCATTACCCGTTTCAAGACCTATGACACACTATTTATGTCCCGTGCCAAGACCCATGGAAGTGCTGGTTTGATGTGCTGTCACGGGCTCCTACCTGTATGTACAGGCTAACGGAATCAGGTCGCAAGCTTGATATCATCGTTGACTCATCAGGCAGCTTGACACCGAGAAGACACGAGAAGCAGAGGTTTAGAAAGAAATGACCTTACTACGGATCATTTCTAGGGCTCGGAGCGTAAATGCCGATGCGTTCGCGTATGCAGGCTTTGAGGTTGGGAGACCCAGTGTCACCAATAGTACTCGGTGTACTCGCCGGTAAGTTTGAGTTTGGCATCCTAACAATTTCTGAGCGCAATGGTCACTCGATGGGAACTCACCTTCACATCCAGGTCATGCGAGAGGTATTAGAGGCGTGCTGGCCCATCCCAACTTCGAATACCATCCTGGCAATATGAAGACTACATCTTCGAATCATCCTGAACTATCTGGAAACCAGGTTGAAGCAATCGAGCCTAAGTCACCTTCCCGTGTGGAAATCCACCACAGTCGTCCCAATCCCCAAGTTCTCCGCCTTGGACACCACATACCTCGCAATAGCAACATCCTGTAACCCAATGCCTACCGACTTGAACACCGTCACGTCACCCTTCCTCATTTGAATCTCTTCCAGCCCGTCTTTATAATCCCGTTTCTCCACCAACCGTCCAATCTCGATCATATCTCCAGCATTCAGACCGGCAGTGATGAGTTCTCCAGCTTCGATCCTACATGCTTCGATTGAATCCACGACGATCATCTCTGCCCGGCTTATGAGACCACAGTCTACTTCGACCATGCTCGGATTGAAGCTCCCCACAAGATTTAGGTGCGTTCCAGGCGAGACCCACTCAGAGGGGAAAAGTGGTTGGGTGGTTGATGTTGCCGTGCAGATCACATGCGCATGACCTACGGCACTTCGGACGTTGGTCGTATCGTCCAGCACAAGTCCTTCGAGTGAGACGAGAGGGTGAGATTGACGCAATACAGACAACAGGTTTTCCAAACGTGCATTCATCGAACGATTGACGATGGTACATCGCTTGAGGGATGGAAATGCGCGGATATGAAGATCCACATGGGCCTCGATCTGCTTCCCAGCGCCGAAGGCGACCAACGAGCTAGGCGGTTCGGAGAGGAGCAAGCGTGTTGCGAGGACAGAGCCTATTAGGTGCCTGAGCGTTGCTAGAAGTTTAGAAGATGCATATATGAGATGAGTCCATACCGGCGGCAGTCCTCAAGGCTGTCAGCGCACTCGCGTTGACGATCGCCTCCACACGCCCAGATTCCTCGTCCAGGAGAATGGTCGAAGCAGGCAAACCACGCTTATCGTCGGCAGACGTAGGTACAGAAACGACTTTGATCGCAGTTCCGATGTCTTTAATCCGTGAGGGCATAAACAGAGCCGTGTGATGGGACATGGCAATGCTTGTCCTTTGCGGCGATGCATAGTGCGATCCTGACGAGAGGCGATGAAATACGGAAGCCATGAGGGCCTCGAGCTCTGCAGACGGCAAGGCGGCAGTGATCGTGTCCACATCCTGAGCAGAGAGTACGAGAAGCGACATCGCAGGGTGCGATCACAGTCGCCGGCTATTCCTAGTGGGCGCCTTCTGCGTATGGCAGGGGTGGGAGGAGACAGTCGCGATCGAATGAGATTCACAGGCACCGGCCGAGGTTCGTGAACCATACCACACATCGTTGCTGGTGGCATGATCCTCCCATCACTCATTCCACAAATTCGATCACTACGGCACTGACGCACATGCGAACATTTTCCCCCAAGTCCACGAGTTGATTCCCCAGAGATATTTCGCAGCCTCGGAACCACGTACGATACCACCGCCTTTGAGGCAAAGGTGGTAAGCTCGCCGGAGCTGTACGAGTCCCATGAGTGGCGTTCATTCTCGCTCATCCCTCCCCATGTCCCCTCGTTGCCGCTGTCATCGTCGTCACCCTGGTGGAACTGGTGCTAACGATTCCGCCCTCCCTGTTATCACAGAACAGAATCGTATGACTATTTTGGTCCTGTGCCGCTGGGAGAAATTCCACGCATTCCATGGGTGTCTCCAGAAAGCCTTTGTATTGGTGTACGTCTTCCTCTTCTACGTGTGATTCCGGAAGTCTTATCTTAACTTCTTATTTACGTGTTTGCCTGCCCACCGCAACCCAAAACAGACATACAAGGCTCGAACGGACCAAAGTCAACACTTACGGCCTTATTTTCGTATGGAAGGGTTCAAACGTATGGTCAGCCGGACAATCGCGCTTCCATACGGCCGAAAGTTGGAACTTTTTCCGGCGGTCACGTGGACATGCAGCACGTATTTTCGAAGTTACGAAGTACCGTCGGTTAGGAGGACACCGGACACTGCAGTCATGCAGTTCGTTCGGTCGTAGGTCACGCGGTCACCCGTTCATGCAGTCCGAAGTTCATGCAGTTCGTTCGGTCGTAGGTCATGCGGTCACACAATCACGCAGTTGTTGGGCAGTACAATCCAACAGTCGTATTTCAGAAAGTTTCGTAAAAAAAAGTACCACAGATTGGCAGTACACGTGCGAGATGTTCGTACAAAAAGTATGGTAAGCTTGGAATTGCAGGCTACAGATTAAACAAGTACCACAAGAAGAAGCCCTCTGCAAGAGGGAGGCCAAGCCGCGTGAGTCCGAGTGCGAAGTCCTGCTCACTGTGTGAGGTACAATAGATCTCCACAATAGTTGCAATGGCAGACTGAACATAACCATGAGTTTCCAAATACTTGACTGCGTGGACACCCAGAACGTCAGCAGCGACGGCAGGAGGGGAAACCCATTCTGAGTGATAGAAGCGACTCTCGATGACACCACGCAGGGTGCGCACGTGGGTGTAAATGATAGGGGAGGGTGCGACACCGCTCCCCCACGTCACGCTTGGGTCACTACCTGAGGTACATGAGCGAACTCACAAGTGAGAAAAAAAAAAGAAAAAAAAAAAACCTGTCATGAACGCCATGTTCTTCTCATTTGCAGTTGATGTAATAGGAATGCCAGGAGTGGGAGTATCCTCACTCGTGCTTGATGCAACAGGAAGCGTAGCCGGTACAGTGTTGTCCACACCCGATTCCGAATCTGACGAGTCTGTCGCAATCAAATGGACGTGGCTACCTTTATACTTGGGAATAGGAATATCCAATAGAAGCTCCTCGATGCCCTTGACAATCATGAAGGCTAGTGCATCCCAAAATGTTGGCAGTTCTTTCCAGCACGGAAAGGTGGAACCACCAAGTGAGCTAAGGGCGGAATCCCTGTAAACGTGTCAGTAATGAGAAAGGAATAGACATTAGGATGACACACTTCGTACGGTGTATGCCTACACGTTGACTGACAACAACTGCATAAAACTTTCTGGGTTGGTCAGAAAACATGTTGTGCACAACATCAGGCCCATTAGGATGGGCAGAAAAGCGTTCATTTATGGTCTAATACACTTATAGTACATCTAACTATCATATACAATGCCCACAGGGCAGGGACAGAGCCCAGGAAGGAAGGGAGGCTGGGGGCAATGAGGGCAGTGTGTGGGAATGTTGGGTATCAGGCACATGCCAAATGAGGACATGTTTTGGGAGTAGTGGCTGCGCTTTTTTATGCTTATGTAATTACATAAAATGCGGAGGAGTGGGGATTTGTGGGGAGAAACTCCCAAGGGGAGGGGGTGGGCAGATCTCAGATCTGCACTAGTAGTATACTGACACATCACTACTGGTATAAGGGAGTTAGGCAGTCTTGCATCACAGTATGTCGCAAATTTATTTGGTCCATTGTCACGTGCCCCCATTGTAAGCAGTGTGTAATGGACCACTTGCCGTTATAATGGTCAGGTTTGGCTAGATTATAGCAAATATGTGATATTTTATCTAAGATATAGTGCAAATGTGTAAAATATTATGTACAAATACCCATTTTTGGCAATCTTTCAATGACACATGGGTGGCATTGGCATGGCTTATAACAGAAGTGTGAACAGCCACCCTTAACATGTATTATAAGGTTCTTATCACGTGCCCAAGAAATTTGCGACATAATGTTACAATTATCACACTTTGATGCATCAAAATGACACTATAGCCTGGGATGTCGAAAAAAGCATCTCAATTTTCGGGGTGCAGTGACCTTGTAAACAAGGTGATGACCACGTGACCTACGACCGAACAAACTGCATGAATGTATGACTGCATAACCTACGACCGAACGAACTGCACGACCTTCGGACTGCATGAATGTGTGACCGCGTGACCTACGGCCGAACGAACTGCATGACTGCAAGTGTCCGGTGTCCTCCTAACCGACGATACTTCCTAACTTCGAAGATACGTGCTGCACGTCCATGTGACCGCTGGAAAAAGTTCCAACTTTCGGCCGTACAGAAGCGCGATTGTCCGGCTTTCCATACAAACGAAGGGATGAAGCCCCTGCTATTGATGGCACATCAAGGTCCTTTCCTTTTTTTGAGTTTGTGGATTTGAATGGAACACTGTTCTTTGGTTGGCAGATGTTGTGCCCGTGGAGCCTACGACTGTCGATAAATGGATCCACCCGCCCTTCTCCGGCCACTTCGATGGTGAGTGGATCCCATTGATCGTTGAGTAGTCTTGCTAACAATAAATAGAGATGATGCGATCGTCGTGGGCCCTGGAATCATGATTGGGAATACGGGTACGTGATGCTCTATGAGACGTAATGTATCTCTGAATGAGTGTATCGGATAGACATAAAGTTTTATTGGAAGCTTGAGCGCTTACTCCTCATATTTTTCGGTATGGACATATCAGTAGTAAAGTCGGAGGGGCTTTTCCACCTGATAACATACATACTGTTAATGAAGGTGTGTCCTTGTCGTTCTTGTCGCTATCGTACGCATTTGGGAGAATCCATAACTGACGGAGACATTTGCAAAAAGTGATGTCAATTCAGAGCTTCCTGGAGGTGATTCAGTTTCTACACAACCTTGATCTTGAATGTGGATGAGTCGGCGCTGCTGTAGATGTTGTTTGTTCTTTCGATGCTCTCGTGTGGTTGACAGAATGATCACAGTTAGACTTGTGCCGCTATGAGACATGTCTACCATAGATTTAGTCGTTATAAGCGAAAACGGTCTTCCGCATAGATTGCTTCCAGTCGCACTACGTACTTCAAGCGAAGAGCCGAACTGTATTACAGTATACGTCAATTGGATGGGAGTTACGACCACAGTTTTTCCGGTCATGACTGTGAAAGAGACTTGGAAAATCTCCACTGCAACTGGGCCACTCCCTGATCCTGTGTCCACACGGCCTTCCGTATCCAGGCGTCCTACTAGGGTAGCTCTGATAGCGTTGCTGGCGGCCGTAGGTCTACTCGCGAACTACAACGTCTGGCATTACTCCTGGGAGCGCCATGCGGCATCCCATAGCTCCACTCACCGCAACCCTCACACATTCGCAAATGTTTGTCCCCAAGCTCCAGAGTTGATCCCTCAACGAAACTTCGACACATGGGAGAACCTTAGTGCTACATACGATACCGACGCCTTCAAGTCGAAAGCGGTAGATTGGCTTTCAAAAGCCGTTCAAGTCCCGTGCGTACCCTCTTCAATTGTTCTCTTCCCGTCGTTCTGCAGATAAATAACTACTGCCTGTGTCCTGCGTTATTCATTATCACAGAACGGAGTCGTATGATTATTATGGCCCGGTGGGAACAGATCCACGGTGGGAGAAGTTCCATGCATTCCACGAGTACCTCCAACAAGCTTTCCCATCGGTGTACGTCCCCAGCCTCTGTGCATGGCTCCATCTGTGCTCGTGTTGCGTTTGACTCATTCACATACGTGGTTACCACTCGTACCCGAAAAAAAGACACGCGACGCTCGAGTTGACCAATGTGAATACCTATGGCCTCATTTTCGTGTGGAAAGGATCAGACGAGGAATTGAAGCCCCTACTATTAGCTGGACACCAAGGTTCTTGCTTTTATTTTATTTTTCCCAAGCGCTCTCCCTTATCGGTTGGCAGATGTCGTGCCTGTGGAACCTGCGACTATTGATGATTGGCTCCACCCGCCCTTTTCGGGCCACTTTGATGGTGGGCTGGTATCTTAATATCGGAAGGTCTTACAGTCACTGAATAACCCGCTGCCATGCTGCAGGAACCCATATCTGGGGCCGAGGAAGCTGCGATGACAAGAGTGGTATCATTGGTATCATGTAGGTTCCTTCCAATTCTCTTTTGGCTTCTGTTCTGTGGGCTCAGTTCCCGACCTTACGGTGTCTCATGGACGATAGGGCGACGATCGAGACCATGTTAACGAGTGGCTTTGAGCCGACCCGTACTGTTGTCCTTGCATTTGGATTTGATGAAGAGTCGAGGGGAACTCATGTACGTATTTCTTTCTGCATCCACGAGGTGTAGAAGTGTGAGTCAGCCTCTCCGTTCTTCCATCCTTTTTTTTCTTTTATTGTAGGGTGCAAAAACGCTAGCAGTCAAACTTGAAGAGATGTTTGGTGCCAACGGGTATGCGATGTTAGTCGATGAAGGCTGTACGTCCTTTTCTTCAATTCGCGATGTTTGTTTGTCATGATACCACCTCCCAGCTGGATACGATGAGCAATATGGTCGCGTTATCGCGACACCCAGCATCGCTGAAAAGGGGTACCTCGACGTCCATATAGAGGTCACCACTCCTGGAGGGCACTCGAGCTTGCCTCCCCCTCATACAGTATGTCTATTCTGCCTTGATGCACACAAGTATTGCTAGAATAGAACATTTTCTTTTTGGTGAATATATTAGAGCATTGGTATTCTAGCCCAAATGCTTGTTAAACTCGAAGCGAATCCCTTCAAGGCCCAACTGGTACGCCGATACCTGCCTTTTCTCCACTTTATCCCTGTTCATAAATTTGGAATTCACCAGGCGCGTAACTCTCCAATTTACAAAAGCGTGCAATGCTTGGCCGCACACGCCCCAGACCTCCCTGAACATCTCAGGAAAGACATTTTCGCATCAGCCTATTCTGACGAAGCGCTCCACGCAGCTGAAAATGCATTATTCACGAACTTGGCATTCAAGAATCTCGTTGGAACCACACAAGCGATCGATATTGTTCAGGGAGGTGTCAAAGTTAACGCATTGCCTGAACAGGCTTGGGCGGTAGTCAATCATCGGATTTCGACGGAGAGGTGAGTAGGACCCGTCCGTACGTTATTTGAGTGAGCGGCTGACCATTTATTGATTCTTGTGTCTCCATCATTTTGCACCGTGAATTGGACCGCTACGAAATGCAACATAGTTCTATCACCCAAACCAAAGCACGTGATATCGACCTTCTCAAACCTCTGGCTTCGAAATTTAACCTCGCCTACACCGCCTTCGGAGAGAATATTCGCTATGATGACCACTTCACAGTTCCCTCTACATATGGCAACCTAACTTTATCGGAGGCGTTTGGGAAGGTCGGGTTGGAACCTGCACCGGTGACGCCGACCGAAGGCGACGACGCAGCACCCTACACAATTCTTTCGGGTTCAATCAAGGCGGCGTTCAACAGGCACAGGGGTATCGAAGGGGATGTCGATGCTGTTGTTGTTAGTCCAGGGGTTTTGTCTGGGAACACGGGTATGTGATGTACCACGACCCGTGGCTGATGTTCGAATCCGTTCATCGTTGGACTGACGAATGGATCGTTGCCTAGACACGACGTATTACTGGAAGCTCACGCCTCATATCATTCGGTATGGACATGTTATGAAGGGGTCATCCTTCTGTAGGATACATACTGTAAATGAAGGTATGTCTTTTGTCCCCGTTATCGTTCATTCTTGGGAAGAACCCTCGGCTGACGGTGATGCATCCCAAAAGCAATGTCGATCGACAACTTCGTGGAAATAATTCGGTACCATACGGCTTTGATATTGAATGTGGACGAGTCAGCGTTGCCGTAGAGGAGTTGCTATGGAGATGTTGATACATAACACACATAGTTGGAAGACTTGAATAAGCTCGATACGAGGATCATAGGCAGTTTACTGTATGTATGATTATCGTCGTTGGTAGGTACCCGTAAGACTTGAGCTGCTATGCTCAGAAACACTCAGCTATCAGTTACTTCGATGACCAGCTTAACAAGGGACGTGAAAGATGTCAGAGCCACTGCTCGGCACCTCTGAAAGGCTCGTGAGATCATAATACTTACCCCGAAGTCAAAGCTACAGAAGTGCAACTTGTATTTAGTGGATGAGCATGATTACTATTGCTGTAAAACTGACATATGTATCCTATCCCCCTCACCGCTTCGCTTTGCCCTTCCCCCGAGTAGCCTTCTTCGACTTATTCACGATAAGCTTATCACCTCCAATGTCTGGATCCTCACTTGGTTTCTTCGCCTCTTCATCTGAAGCATCAGCTAGCTCGTCGTCCATCTGAAATACATAAATCATCTCACGTCTTCAAAAATGATAGGAAAGACACGAGTGTATAACACGTACCTCGAATGCCTCCTCGAGGTCCGGCACGGCTCCACCGGAAATCTTCTTGGCAGCTTTACCCAGATCCACCGCTTTATGAAATGCAATAGGATGCTCTCCCGCGTTGTACCTGTCCACAACAACAACAGCCATCAGTAAAGCATAGACATGGTCCAAACGAGGGCAGTACGACCTACCGTTTCGTGAATGCTGTCTTTGTTGCAGTAGGAATCTTCTTCAACACATCGTCCTTGTTCTCATCTACTCCGAGCTCAACTATGGTATCCCAATCCTCCCTGGTCAAATAATATTCATCCATCCGTTCGATCACATTGTCCACGGCATCCTGCATGAACCCTTTTCAGGACGTGTTACACCATCAATATGACGCAAAAGCTCACCGATCCATCCGTAACGAGCGGTTTGACAAGGTAAGGGAGAAGCGCAGGTACATACGATTGTCGTATCTCGACTTTGTCCCCCGAAACCTTGAGTCTCATCCGGGCTTGAATATCACCCAATTGACGCCCGAGTTTGTTTTGTTTCGAGTTCTGACCTAGCCATCTGCCAATAACAATAGTTTATAAGCCGGATACTCGCTACACCACAGCCCACACAACCAGCGTGCGTGGCAGCGGAACGAACGAGGCAATGAAAAAAAGACGTACTGAGGGAACGACATCGCACTCGGGCCACCATACCCCATGCCACCTCCATACACGAACGATGCAGGCCGAACGGTAGAACACACGGCATGCAACGGCATCAACGACCAATGTTGTTCCGGCCTTCGCCACCCGCGTCAGCGCGACTTCGAGTAGATCCATGCTAAAAGAAATCCAACGCACCCATGTATGAGGACGTCCACGAGATCCGAGTCTGAGATCGACGACGCAGCCTTATCCATCAACTGTAATTGCTTCAACGCCTTCGGAGGACCCTCCAGATCTCGCACTCTCGCAGGCTGGGTCTTGAGATAATTTTCCTAGTCCTCTCCTCAGCAAACCCTAACAGAGGCACAGGCCAGCGCCACCGGCGAACGAATCACATACCTGTATGAATAACGGCACGAAGGAATGATCATGGAAATACAATTCCATCTTATCGTTCAACGTCTCCCTCGAGGTCCTCGAGAACAGATAGGGACCGAGCATTTTATTCGTCACGTCGAATGGGGTCAGGATCGTATATTTTTCGTTCATTTTCGCACTGTACCCAAAGTCGTTCTCATTAGTATCGCCTCTCACACAACGCCTACCAGCACAAGGCAAGGAAGAACTACGCACAGGTCCTTGCCTTCATCAAAGGTCATTGTATCACTCGACAACCGCCACGTCGACAACATATTCAAAATTTGTCTTATATCCGACTGAGCGCCTTCGATGAGCTGATCGACAACGTTGGCAGGAATCTGCATCTTTTCCCTATCGCGCGCGTTAGCGAGAGGTCAATACATACGTCGGGACATGTCAGCGTTAGAATAACGCTCATCTGCCTCGCATTCAAACAGAAAGGAGAGAAATAAGTGTGTACTCACTTGTACGCAATTGTCAACATCCTCGACCGCACAGCGCCAGCGTCTGGTCTGTCGAATAGATTAGATACCCGAGTTACCCATCCATGTTACACCAACATGTGGTCCAACAAGAGTGAACGACTCACTTCCTAAATGGCAACTTGCACGTCGTGTGCATTAATGGTTTCAACTTTTGCGCGCCTCCGTCGTTGGCGATACATATGATGGGGATCTATACGCTTCGGCGTCAGTGCATTTTCCAAAAGAAGGGGAACGAGAAGACACGGGAAAGACCAACGAACAGACGAAGACACTTACCCTAGTCTTCTTAATCAAGGCATTCAATGCACCCACGCCACCTCTATCACCCGCCGACATCCCATCCACCTCGTCCATAATGAGGCACGTCCGGTCCGTGACGGTCACACCAAGCGCATTGGTCGTCTTCATACATCACTCGTCGGCACCGAAGACGTAGCAGAAAGCGCGCGAACGTACCTCTTTTCCGGCCATCCATCCGTCTAGCGAGAGATTGTTAATACTCATTCCTTCCTATCCCCAAATCGCTCAGTTCCCCCCGGACACAAAGTACAGGGAAATGAGAATGGCGACGAACCTCGACAAGCTTCTTACTCCTCGTATCGCTCGCATTCATCTCGATGGGCGTAAAACCCTCCGCCTTGGCACACAAATGGGCAGAAGTAGTTTTTCCTATTCCTGGGGGGCCAGTTATTAGGACGGCGCGGTAAACGTTCATACCATTCTTTCCGGGTTTCTTGAAGTTAGATTTGAGGTTTGATGGCCTGTAGCCACGTTAGAATAAGCCTAGAAAGAAGGGAAAGGAGTGCAAACCAATCTTGTAACCACTGCCGCAATTTCTCTACCTGCCCTTTGTTCCCGCATATCTCTTTCAAAGTCTTCGGCGCATACCTGGTAGTCCATAGCTGGGTTGACATATCTGGTGTCGACCTGGGGTGCACGAATCGTGATTAGCATCCATCACCTCGCGTGCGACAAGTCCATGTTATTTCAAAGGAAGAAAACTCACCTCCCAAGTTGTCCCCCTGGTGCCTTGCCTTTCTTAGCCTCTTTGATCTCTCTTTTCTCCATCTCCCTCGCCGCACTTCGAATTGCCTCCTCGTCCCGCTCCATCTTCTTCCTAAACTTCTCATCCAGTCCCGCACCTTTGGCACTCGCACCACTCTCCATCCCACTCGGCCCCACACGCGTCCCAATAAGCTCGAGGAACTCATCCTCCGAAAGCGTCCGCAATCCATGTTTCTTGATCGCTGCTAACTTGGAGGGACCTGCGTCTTCGCCCAACACGACGTACGAAGTCTTAGAAGAGGGTTGCAGTGTGACACGTCTGTGCCCAACAAATAACCGCATGTCAGCTGAGAAACGAGCCAGATACAAGGAGAGGCGGACAACAAAAGGAGAAAACACAACCTACCCCCCGAAACGTTTTGCAAGGTCCACGGCTTCCTGTCTCGAAAAACTAGTTAATTCACCAGTAAATACGAATGATAGACCGAGAAGGCAGTCTTGAGTTTTCGGTTCCGGGATAGGCTTTGATCCAGGAGCTTTCGGACCCGCTAGTTTGGCGGCTTTGGCAGCTGCCCAGCTAGATGAGGTTTTTAAATCACATAACACGCTATAATTTTGGCTCTTGAAAGAAAGAAGGCAAGACTTACTTAAATTTAGAGGTCGTTGCTGCGAGTTCGGGTTCGGCCGTTGCAGCTGGAATGGTCTTTGAAGCCGCATTCTGCTCCTCTGTTTGGATTGGGGGAGGAGGTTTCTTAGAAGGGGATTTGGTATTCATTGTTGGCGAAAGATTCGTCTTTCCTGATGGCGCCTTCGCCCTGTTGACTCTCTTCTTCTTTGGGACCTCTTCCTCCTCCTCCGCATCATCAAACGCGTCGTCCTCGTCCTCGTCATCGCTTACAACAAAATCGTCATCTGCAGGTTTGGAACGCCGCGGGGCTGATGGTCGACGCCCACCAGCGGATGCCTTAACAGTAGCAGCTGCAACCTTTCTCGAAGACGACGCCACTTGGGCTTTTTTCTTCGTTCGAGGAGGCGAAATCTCCTTCTCCGTCATATGGTCATCTTCGTCGGACGAAACCACTCGTTTTCGTTTCGACGACGCTGCCTTCGGAGTCGTTCTGGAGGCGGACGCGGAAGTGCGTTTTCCGATAGGAGCGTGTTCTTCTTCGTCACTGTCGACGAGCATCGCCTGCTCGGACCTGGTCATCGATATATTATTTGGCTGAAAGTGCATCAGGGAGTTAGAGTATGATAGGAAGCTGTACGAGGGAAAGAGAGGGATGTACTTGGACGGCTTTCGTACTGGCTTTGACCTTGGAAGGATTGGCTCCATTGTCAGCTGTATGGCTGTATGTAAGCCGCGATCCTATGAAATCAGTGATACGCACTTATTTCGATGGGGTCTTCCTTGGCAGACCCATGTCCGGGTTTTATTGCCGCGGTTGACTTGAGTAGTGGTGGAATTGATTAACCGGCCAGTGGCCACACCACGCAACGAAACAAAACACACCTTTTGCGGTTGCTTCTGAGCAGACCCCGGTGCCCCACCAGCGAAAAAAGAACGCAAGTCCTTACCGGCTTGTTTCGTCGTGCTCGACTTAGGTGGCATCGCTGTGGCCGTGAGCAAGTAGCGGAAATATCACCGTCACGTCATGTCACACCGTGTATGTCACGCTGTCACACCGCGTCTTTGCTTTATGAGAGTCCTGACATTGGCAGAGGCGGCGACGCCGACACCGGCGACTGCGACGAACACGTCGACGACGGGGATGACCGGCACGACGGAGACAGACCGGGCCGATTGTTTCCCGACGGTGACGCTGGACACGGAGAGGGTCACTCACGACCTCGCTGCAAGACTCGCAACGACTTTCCTTGCCCACGTCCTCTTCCTCAAAAATCAGATACCCTTGTCAGTTCCATTCAAACCTACTGACAAACAGGGCTCATATCTACTTACAGCCCTGTCGCTCAACTGGCACGCATACCAGACAAAGACGTGAGTTCCCCCTCGTTCAGCTTCATCTAAAGTTAAGTGGCAAGATCACCACACGCACAGACGCGTTCTCGAGCTGCGAAGAAACGACAGCAACTCCTCAATTCATTCGACACCCTCACCTCGCATCTGTACACCACCTTCGTCGCCTTGTCGACATCTCTTGCCCTCCGACGCAAAGCATGTCATGTAGATACAACTGAGATATCAAGAAAAACAGATATTGATAAAGTATTCCTAGCCATCGTATTAGGTCCCACGATTGGCACTGCAAAATCTCGCCTTATTATGGGGATTGATGGCTTCGAGGTCAAAGTATGGGGGTTAAGAGACGACGTCACCCGCTCCCCTATGTCAGCAAAGACAGTCGAGTGCTCGCACATGGAACACGACGACGAGTCAGAGGAATCCGACAACCATGAGTCGGAAGGAGAAGATGTAGAGACAGACGACTCTACCGAATCTCCATACGAGACTGGCGAGGAGAGTACAGAGGACCAACCCTCTTCGGAAGATGGAGAAGAAGACAGCTCAGGCGAAGAACCGCCACCACCCTCCAGAAGTCCATCTCCATCTCCCACTTCGTCTCCACCACCCCCACCACTAGCACCACCCCTAGAACATGCGGCTCTCCCCCGACGCCACGAAGAGACTGACGACACCCTCCTCCGTACAGCCGAACGTCTCCTCTCGTTCACCCTTGCAAAGGCATGCGCAGAGGATGTCCAAGGTCAAGGAATTGCTGCCGAACTGCGTATGTTTCTTTCTCGCCTCTTTCGAGTTACTCATCCCATGCACTGATTTATTTCATGTGCATAGCACCCACTAACATCCATATCCTCATCCGCGCACCCCGTCGATTCACACATCCTGCATGGATACCCCGTCAACCGTTTTCGCCGGCTTTGGACGATTTCTTGGACGCATTTTTGGATATGTCTGCGGACAGTAAGGCACCGAAAACCCTTCCGACAACCACCGGGACGGCGGTGGGAAAACAACAACACCGGAAAGGAAATGTCCGGGTCGAGGGTATCTGGGCTCGAGCACGTAGGTCGGGGAGCGGATACCAGTCGAAAGCGCTGGGCGGTGTGAAGGGGATTGAGTCGGAAAGTGAACCACGGATCGATAGAGAAGCTGCTGATGCGGACGTCGATGAACAAGACGAGTTGATCTGGTGGGGTTGGGACGGAAAACTGACAGGGTTTACAGATTGGTAGAGTCAACTCCGTTCTTTGCTTTCCCTCTTTACGATGCATAATTTTGCGCTGTCCTTGCCGCACTCGAGTAGCATTCACCATACATGCACGCATTGCCTACGAACATGAGTGTGTGGCGGTCACCACTACTCTTAGGAATCACCACCGTCCTAGGTGAGTCACGATTCTTATCACCTGAGTCCAGTTGAATCTCGGATGGCCGGCGAGCAGATGTTGTCGTTAGGTTCTCCAATCGAGAGATGGCAACATTGGTAACGTGGGTACCTCAGTCTAGACTGGCCGAACATGTTTCAAGTACACGTTTGAGGGCGACATCCCCCTGACAGGGATAATATGTTCTTGATATTGATCCCCGTAGATACATCCCCTGCATCACACTGACTCGCCACATTTTCCTTGCTGTACGAGTTGACGTGTTTGAAATTCACGGTTGTGGCCCCCGATATAGTCCTTCCTATTGCAGGTCCTCAGCGTAAGCTTCAGAATCACTACCTGTAACTTCGCAGACATTTCAAGTATTTACCTTGAGGGCTAGTTCTATTATTTAGTGGCTCTTCTTGATCGTCAAGATTGCATGCGTCACACTTGTCTTCCGTGGCATACATGCTGCACAACTGTCCCTCGTAGTCTAGTCCGTGTAAATTTATCGCATTGGCACGCCTCCCTTCTGGCTACATTGGCCGACATCTTATACGTTGTACCCGTGGCAAGACATGCTTTCTGATGGGATCGAGCCGTTATTCTAGCCCGCTGCGTGCAATAATAGCGGCCCTAAATAACTTCCTATCGCATACATCTATCAGCAAGATCTCCTCGGAAGGCACTACATGCAGCAGTGATGCGGGCCGCTGGGCATTGGCCTCGAGGCTCTAAGGCAATGCTTCTGTGTGTACAATTTCACAAGCTTAGAAGAGCGGAGCCTGTCCTGTCGAGTCACGACATGCATACAGAAAAAGAACTAGAATGCATGTGCATAGGACTGACCCCGGTGAACCCTCCCGTTCTTTTTTTGGTTTCGTTTCTCGAACGTTGGCCTGCAGACAAGGGTATAAAAGTATGAGATTGGTAAGAGCTCAACTGAGTTACCATGGATGTACAGTCGATCAGTCGATCGATCACCGCATGGCCCACTTACGGACACGGTGCAGCTGTATCGAAAGGCAGGTTGCACGAGTCGCACTCAGAATTACTTACCAGGGTCGATTTTGCGGTGTATTACATGTACCCTTCTATTATGTAATCACACTCGATCTACACGCGTCCTCTCTTTCGGACGTGTCGGTAGACTGTAGGTTTATGGGCAAACTTGACTGTTTCTCTCCGTGCAGGCCAGCTCCTTCCGATATCAAACAGTATAAAGTCGATCCCTCTCAAGACACGGTCATGCCCACCTTAATACACCACCTCTTTTTGAGACTCCTCACCAGTCTTGGAATGGCTTCACAATTCCGAACTCCAGTGGATGGTCTATTCGAAGATCAGATGTCCCACTTCACCACCAGCTGGTGGGAGCGTGTTATCCGAGGAGACGATAACGCAGCACGATGTTACGTTGAGAAGGTCTGCTGGCACAAGCAATCTTCTACTGTGCAACATGAGTTCCTTCAATTCGATATACTGTCTATGGATGGACGCTACAAGTCAACCGTCGTAGCTGAGCGGGGAAAGGATCGTACCAATTCAGATAGAAGTACCTCTGCCATTCTGTGTTCATTTAAATCACTGACGACAATATGGATGCGCAGCGCGAGAGTTTGCCACGCGCTCTCCCCCTACAGACACTACCGTTACTGCGAACCCTCCCACTTTCGCGGACCCTACTGCTACTGAAAACTTCCCAGCGGTTGTGATTCCCGCCTCTCCTGCGAATGTTACCCCTTCTGCGGACTCCACCGCACCAGGTCACAACGGTAACATTTTGTCTTCATTAGGTTCAAGTAAACCATCCATTGAAGCGGATGACGCCGTGTATTCCGCGGCGTTCGGCAGTCCAGGTGCCATTAAATTGGCCGTGAAATGTACCGCCGCAATTTGTCTTCGTACGCTGACGTTCCCCAAAGGCAGTGTTCGACCATCTGCCCATGAATTGTCGACGCTGCTCGCTGTGACATCGAATCACATACTGGTATACAATTTGATGGAAAGCCAGTGTTACTGGTTCTCCGAGACGGTTTTTAAGGCACTCAAGCGCCTATTTCCGCTCGCGAGGGAAGATATCCAGTCGGATCGAGCGGGGAGATGGCGTGGTGTGGCGATACCAACTGCTGAGAGTGTAGAAACGGTTTGTGCTGAATATCGTGCAAGAAACACTTTGTTTGCTGGAGGAAGCTGAACGAAAACGACGAACTGGGCAGCAGGTACATAGATGTTCTCTTTTCCTATGCAGAGCTGATATGAATCCAAATGCAGATTGTGGAGGAGCGTGATCAGGCTTTGGCAGAGCGAGATGCTACGGCAGAAGCTTTGGCGGCACGGGATCGCGCTATGGCAGAAGCTTTGGCAGAGCGAGATCGGGCTATGGCAGAACGAGATCGGGCTTTAGCACAAGCTGCAGAGCGAGATCGGGCTATGGCAGAACGAGATCGGGCTTTAGCACAAGCTGCAGAGCAGAGTCGGGCTATGGCAGAAGCTCTGGCGAAGCAAGCACAATTGGAGGAGCAACTTAGTCGGATGAGGGAAGGAGCGGCAGGCATCAGGCAATGAGTGCATTGGATCAGACATTGCCATGGCCTGTCTCGGTACTTGGCAGATTTATGTTGATCCGGAATTCGACTCGACTGCATATGTAGTTACAATTCAACCTTATTGCAGGACGTGGTGAGAGACGTAAATGAGAACTTTGAGTCGTGAGTCTGAGTTTCACTTGTATGTAGCTATCCCATTGGTAGGCACGAGTGGCGAGGTAGATTCATATTAACATGGCAGGAAGGGCCTGAATAAGGCGCCAGGGTTGACCTCGACGCCCTCCCAGCAGTTCGCCAACCCCAAGTCCTTCACCGTCCACCCCTCGACGAGTCGAGTGGCAACCCATGAAAAGTCCGAGTCGTCGTTCATCGAGTTGCAATTTAGAAAAATCCCACAAATCTTCTCAGAAGACAACTACAACTTCGCAAACCGTAATCTGGAATGAGGGCGCGCCCTAGGACGTCCTTCGACTCGAAAGAAGCGCGAGATGGGTTGCTCCCGGGCACATAAGTTGCCATATAAATGGGAGAGGGTAGGACGAAATCCGTACACCAGGTTCAAATAAAGGATGCAAAACATGCTCTCAGACAACAAATGCAAGGTGTGATAATGCTCTCCCGACCATCCGTGATGCCAAAAGCATCTGCATTCAGCTCAACCGCACAGAAAACCTCGGTAGATTCAGGAAAAGAAAATCCGCATCCGGGTGGACTGCAAAGAAAATATAGAGCTCTCGAATCGTATCCACCTTGAATCGAGACTGTACTCAGTAGGCAAGTGATGAATTATTAACAGGTATGTCATTGGTCCTACCGATCAGCAGCAGTGAAATGTGTTCATTCAATCAACTTTCGGTATATTCCACGTACGACAGCCTTGGAATAAAGCCAGAGGATACTTGCCAAATGGGCCGTCCATCGCTGGTCTGAGACGTCTGCTTAGTGTACGGAGGGTTCGTCTATTGGCGAGGCCGAAGACTCGAAGAATGTCGTCGACTTGAAGACAGTGATGCTGCATGGTACGTGAGCATGACAGGCGAAGCTGCTGGCACCCCATCCCGAAAAACGAACATGTGCCTGTCCCTGCAAAATGCTTCATTTCACATGTGCGCTAATAAAAACCGCCCACCCGGCCGATACAAAAGTCGATACCCATTAGAATGAAAACCGGCAATGAAAGGTATAAAGAATCTCCACAGCCAAGGGGTTCTGTCGTATTCCACCGTACCGACATATTCAAAGTACTCCGGATAAAGCCAGCCCACTCACAATCACAAAGCCACACAGTGCTCTCTTCCCGGATGACGATGTTTCGCATATGGATATCCTAACGAGTAAATACCAGGGACAGGCAGGAATGGTCGAATGGAAACTCGTTAGGGTGGGGTCCGGTGAATTTGAATCGTTTGGAAACGGCGGACCTGCTGTTGAACCACTCCGTCAAGTCGGAGTAAGATGTGAAAGGGCCAGCGCCCCGCTCCGTGAACTATCGCCCCTTGCAGCGAAGCGGGACTTCACCCACAGGTCCTGAAATTTCAACAAGCCTTCCGCGAATTTTCCACAGTTGTCGTATGTATCCACGGGGGGCCCATGTAATGTGAAGCTTCCGCCATAAGCTCAGGGTTGCTCCCGGAAGAAGTGGGTTTAAGTGGAGGAAGGTGGGATACAATCGATATACTAGGTCCAAAGCAAAGGACAGGGAGACGCGCTCTCATACGGCGAATAAGAGGTATGTTGATGCTCTCCTTGCTATCTGTGATGCCACAAGTACCTGTACATGACGCTCGGAAAACGCCTGTAAATTCAGAAATTCTAGAAGTCCCAAGTTATGTCTAGTTAGATTAAGAGGACAAGATGTAGTTTAAATTTATGCGATAGTCAGGTGGTTTCCTGAACAACGGACCGCCGAGCGATGAATTGCTAGAGATGACGGCAGTCCTACCATCAGGTAGCAGCAAGATGCGTTGATTCAATCGATTATTGGTATATTCCGCACAAGGCAACTTCGCCTCAACGAGGGACATAACGCCAGAAAGTGCCTGCCAAATGCTGTCCGTCGTTCGTTCGTGAAGCGCGCTATAAGTCTCGCACACTCACCTGGGCCAAACCGTACGGTACTGTTCCTGCACCAGAACATTCGAGCACAATACTGAGAAAAGTTGCAGTGATTTGGAACATAACATTGGTAGTAGCAAGATGTCTAACTTCAATTGTTCCCCAACCAGGCCATCAGCAAATCCTGATTTTATTCAACGTTACTAATTGTCGCTTAACACTACATATCCGTTCAAGCAGGCAAGCAGCCTATACTTGGACAAGTAAATCCTTATGACGAACATTAACTTTTGTTACGACGTTTATGTCTGCATCCGGCCTATGCCTTCAATGCAACACATTACATCATATTGTAATATGTTTCCTGCTCGATGACTTAACAGTGGGTGGGGTCTGCTGGCCCATGATATACCCCACCATATATTTCCTAAATCCAGACTCATGTTGAGCACAAATTTATACAGAAAAGAAAACATCTGCATACCTGTTGTTTCTCTTCATATGTAGTACAAACCATGTCTACAACACTAGCAAATGGTATTGGCAAACCATAGCATGTTCCTTTTTGCTTCGAATGAATATCTTCTTCTGCCTTTGCACCCGGAAATAGGCGCACGAGTGCCTTGAAACCTGTCGCAGAAAACCAGTAACACTGGCTGGCCAACAAATGGTACTTTTCCTTGACTGTCGACATCGCAACAAGCAGCATTGCCAATTGGTGGGCAGATGGTCCATTGCCGTCAGGGAATGTTAGACTATGAAGACGGATCGCACGAGCAGGAGCACATCTCCCGTCTATACCAGTGGCACCTGTGGTGCCGAGCGTTGCGGCAAATACCATGTCTGCCGCAACCCTGTCCGAGGTTGATCTAGATGAAAATGGTGAAGGACTCGCGGCTGCAGTATCGTCAGTGGTTTGCGTAAATGAACATACAAAGGGAGAAGTACTTCTATCCGACTTACCCGGTTGACCATCAACTTTACCCCGCTCAGCTATGACGGTTGACCAGTGGCGTCCATCTGGAGAGCTTATGTAGAAATGAAGGAACTCGTGTTGCACGCCGGAACGTTCCTTATACCAGGTGACACTGTACACGAAACAATCCGATCTCCAATACATTAGAGCCTCCCATGATCTGGTGTCGTTATTGCTCCCTTCATCTGTGAATAGACCAGGGATGCATGGTGGTGGTGGGTTGACTGTTTGCGAAGGCATCCCAAGGACACTGAGCAGTCTCAAGAAGAAGTGTCAGATTATGATAGACACGACCATCTTGCGAGGGTTCGCTTAATATATCAGGGGGATATCAGCCAATAGGGGTGCGTGCCAATGCAACGGAGAAGGTTTACCGGGGCTGGAATAGGAGGGATTCTTCCGTGTCACACATGCTACACAATAGTTTGTGCAGCATGTATGCCATGGAAGACAAATGTGACACTGTGATGGGGGACGTACCTATTGCCCACGGGGATCAATATCAAAAAAAAAAAACCCTATCATGGGATGTCCACAGAAGAATTCCTCCGAATCCAGTCTTGGTAAATCTTTTTCGTTACATTGGCACGTATGCTTATTGGCTGATATCTTATCCATCTACGCTGTGACTGCCGCAAGACATGCTTTTTAATAGAATCGGGTCACTATTCTATTAGCCTGCTGTGTACGGCCGCATTCACATCAGACCGAGGCAGGCTAAACCAGAGACTGCAGATTGGAAAGTAGATAGTCCGTAACTTTAGCATCTACTTGGATCACGAGGAAAAGAGCTGATATAAAACTTACTGGATACTCGGGAGTCAGCGGGCGAGCGATGAATCGTTCGGGACCGATGTAGTTAGTGCGTCAGGCAGCAGGAGGACCAATAATCGATTCATGGACGAACGGGCATATTCATATTTCGCACATAACGAGGCCAGAGAGTGCCTGCCAAATGCCATCCCATGAAGTGCGCAGTATACCTGGCTAGCTTTGTAAGTAGCATCATGGGGTTTGTTGATTTAGTAATTACATCCTGTGTGAATTATGTTATGTAATGACATGCGGACGTCGTCTTGCCTTCCTTGACCTTCTTCTTCCTCCAAGGCCTTGCAGGTCGCTCTAATATATCGAAGGTAATCCCTCTCAACATGCCCACCACAAGTCACCACTTCTTCTTGAGGCTCCTCAGTAGTTTTGGAATGGCTCCGCAAACACCAACACGAGTCAGTGGTCTATTCCAAGATACACTGGCGATTTGTGACACCAGGTCGTGGGAGAGTATAATTCGAGGTGATGATAACGCATCACGGTGTTTGGTGGACAAGGTCACCTGGTACAAGCAATCTTCTACTGTGCAGCACGAGTTCCTTCAATTCATCATATGGTCTGAGGATGGACGCCACGCGTCAATCGTTCTAGCTGAGCCGGGTATGTTTCGTGTTAAATCAGACAGAAGTAATCTCCCTTTATTTGTCCATTTAAACCACTGACAATACTACAGGACAAGAGTCTGTCGCGCAACCCGGCACTATCAGCACTGCTAGTGCAACCCCCCCTGCTTCCGCGAGCCCAACCACAGCAGGTCAGAATAGTAACATTTTGTGTTCATTGTGCTCACGTATTTCAGATATTGATGGCGCGATAGACACGGTATATGCCGCAACGTTCGGCAGTGGAGCTGCCACCGGCTTAGTCGTGAAATGTAGTGGCGCAACTACTCTTCGTACACTAACATTCCCCGTTGGCAGTACTCGACCATCTGCCCATGAACTGGCAACGCTACTTGTTGTGACGTCGGATAACAAGTCAAGGTACAATGTGATGGGCAGCCAGTGCTGCGGGTTTGCCGAGACAGCTTTCGAGGCACTAAAGCGCCTATTTCCGGATGCAAGGGAAGATATCCAGTCGAGGCGAACAGTAACGGGGTATGATGCGCCGATACCAATTGCTGACCGTGTGGATGCGGTTTGTACTGCGTATCGTAAAAGAAACACATTTTTAGTGGAGGAAGCCAATAGAGACGGTGAACTGAGCAAGAGGTATGTAAATCTTTTCTTTTCTGTGAACATTTGTGTTCAACACGACTCTGGATTTAGGTAGCGGTAGAGCGGGATCGAGCTTTAGTGGAAGCTTTTGCAAGGCGAGCCCAATTGGAGAAGTAACTCAACCGGAGGGAAGGCACTAGAGAAAGAGTGGTGGGTTCAGGGAATGAGCACGACATGTGGGGGCCATGTGGCCCATGTTAGTACCTTGCAGGCTTATGCTAATCCCAAATTCGACGCCGAATGTATTGAAGTACATATGTAGTTACAATTCAACCTCTGTTACGGTGAAAGCATTATAATCCATGGTTATGAAATGAGAACTTTAAAGTCATGAGTCTGAGTTGCACTGTAACTATTCCACAGCGAGACACAAGCGACAAGGTAGCATACTCTTTTGTCATTGCAGGAGGGGCCGGAATAAAATAAAGTTCCAAACGATATCTAGGGTTGTCTGAGCGGGTCGCCTGCCAGCGTTCCACACACTTTTTGGCACATCAACTCCTCGAAGTAGGAAACCACGCGAAGTTCGAGTTGTCGCATATCCGAGTTCGCAATACAAGACGTGCACTCAGACGGTGAATGCAAAGTATGATGATGCTCTCCCTGTACGCTCGGAGAACCCCTGTAAAGTCAGGCAAAGAAGTTCCGCGCCAGGGGGACCACAAAGGAATTGTAGAGCCTCAAGCCGTATCAGTTCAAGATGTAGTTTACAACTTACGCAGTGGTTAGGTGGTTTGCTGAACAACGGACTGCCGAGTAATGAGTTGCTAGGGATGCCGTCAGTCCTACCATCACGGAACAGCGGTATAACTTTGTCACGTGTGTTCGCCAATGATGCATTCATTCAATCGATTATTGGCGTATTCCGCACACGAGAACTTTGCACCAACGAGGGGCATGAAGTCAGAGAGTGCCTACCAAATGCCGTCCGTCATCGGTTCGTGAAGGGCGCGATGCGTCCTGGTTGATGAACGCAAGGTCCGTCGACTGAAAAGACCGAAGACTTGGAGGATGTTGCCGCCTTGAAGGGATGCCACTGTTCAACTACGCATAAGGCAATCTGTTATGACGGTTAACAATCACGACCCTCCCGGGGCGTAGGATGCGCGTTCATTTTTATCAATAAAGGGCTTTGCTGGTCGGCGCCGCGAGTTATAAATTAGTGAGAGATCTTCCGCGAGGCACACTACGGACACGAAATGAACGACGTACTGTGTGATTTACGCATGGATACCTATTGGAAGCATCCACTCCTTTCTACTCTCGCACACTTACCTGAGCCAAACCACACGATACTTCTCCTGCACCAGAACATTCGAGCACAATACTGAGAAGAGTTGCGGTGATCTGGAACATAACATTGGCAGTAGCAAGAGGTCTAACTTCGGTTGTTCCCCCAACCACGCTCTCGCATGGTTTCCCAGATATCGTTCATCCCAACAGATACGCGCTCGCGGGCGCTCTCGAAACTGTCCAGGGCAGGGCGCACGTCGAGAGCAAATACAGGCTCACCATCTGGAGTAGGTGGGGCAGAATAGTAGTCGATGACATACCGCACCTCTTCGCCCGTCCGAGGTCGACGAACAACCCAATCGTGTCGATCGAATGGTGGCTCGGTACTGCGCAACGTTGTCAGAGACAGAGACAGAGAAACACCGGAGCGGAGCTTGCATACTTGAACCTTGTGGGCAGCAACCACCCCATGAACATCCAAAACTGCGCCTTTGGCGACATTTCTCCCGGCCGCCCCTTGAACCTTGCCAAGTGTGGTTGTTCGTCGCCAGGCCTGTCCAGATCAGTCGATCACCCATATACGCGCATGAAATCGACTAAATCACGAACTGAGCGACACGCTTTTCCCACCTCAACACCTCATTCCAAGCACGCTCATTCAAGAAGTTATGTATGTCTACCATCACCTCGACATGTTCTGTAGGTGTCTCCCACCCTTTCCTCACGAGAGCATTGTAAAATTGTTGAGGAGACGGATATTCCCATGTTTGCGTCTTCCCGTCCTCCGTGCCGCGGGGTATCGATGAGAGTGTCCGATCGGTCGGAAGTGGAGCTGACTGAGAATGAGAATCGAGTGGAGTCTGTGGTAGCGACGGCATCTGGTTGAGAGGGTTGAGTCCTGTCGAAGAGTGTTCAACTAGACATCCTCCGCTAGATTTTGGTGCAGAAGCATGTTGTACTGGACACCCGGAAGTCGATGGATTTGAAGCAGGGTTGGGCTGGTGCATCGGACAGCCTGAACCCGAATTCGAAGGGGTCGACTGGTGCATTGGACATGATGCCGGCGGTGTCGTTGACGGTGGCGACGACGACGCAGACTGTGACTGGCCCATCTGTGATTTGTCTTTGAAAGTCCCAACCGGAAATGAAATTTTCGAGTGCGTCGGGTCGTCACGTGACCACCGACAGTTTCTTTCCGGATGTGACTTTTTTTGACAGGCAGTTAGTCTTGAAAAGCCAGGATGCTGCCCCGTCACTTGCGTAGCTTCGTCGTCGCCCAGCATGCGCGTCTGCCAGCCCGGCTGTCGTCCAAGGCTTTCCCACCGCCGTTCCGGATACCCCCAGCACCGCAGTACTCGTGCTCATCGTTTCCTGCCGGATCCCGCTCGTTTCACGCTTCGTGTCGACGTCGGAACGAAGTTCCCAAGTCTCCGTTCCAGACATTCGTGGAAGTCCTGCGAGAGGAACTGCGCAAGAATCGCGAGTTGCAGGACAACGTCAAGCAGCTCCAGGGAGACGTGGACAAGCTGCAGGACTCGGAGGCGATGAAGCGTGCAAGGGATATGTACGAGCGTGCCAGGGTACGCCGCTCTTTCCTCGTTCTATGACATGCGGAATGTTAAATCATGTGATCGTTATGCTGGTGCCCTGTAGTTGACATCGAGCATTAAAGAGAACCCTCGTTTGAGAGCGGCTGCAGAGGAACTCAAGAAAGCCGGTATTAAAGTTGGCGATGCAGTCTCCGAGGCACTCAAGACGATGGAGGAAAGTGAGATCATGCGAGCGGTTCGTGCCCCCTCACCACACTCTAATTTCTACGTGTTAATCATATTTTCTTGCGATACTTAAATATAGATCTCCCGTGCGACGTCTTCACTATCTAGCACTATCGCTCAAACTACAGAACCAATTCGGAATACTGCCGCCTACAAAACTCTCGCAGAAACTCTCGTCGATGCACTCGACGACTCGGGTTCCGCCAAACACGCTGGGTTTGAGAGCAAAGAAGCCAGGCGCAAACGTCGACAGAGACGCCTGGAGAAGGCCGGTCTTGCTGGTAGACGCGTCGTTGAAAATACAGAGTATGTCTCATCTCGTGTTGTGTTAATTGAGAATACTTGATTTACTATTCGTGCGTACGGGGTAACACAGAGCCGGTCAAGCACTCGTCTCGGTGAAACCTTCACCTCGACAAGAAGCTTGGGAGCAATTCAAATCCACGAATCCGCTCATGCAACAACTCTCGTCCCTCCGCGCTGCCTACCAAGAATCAGAATCACCTCTGATTACCCCGATACGCTCGGTCACTTCTGCGATCGGCTCATGGTTCGAAGAGACCGAAGTAGCACAAGTGACGCGGATGATGAGAGCACTCGACCCGCACTTCTCGAGAGAGGCGTTCGAGAGGGAGCTGAGAGAGTATATCGTTCCCGAAGTTGTAGATGCATATCTCAGCGCAGACAAAGAGGCGTTGACGAAATGGTGTTCTGAGGCGGTGGGTCAAACTATTCGATTTAAGGATGCACCATTCATTTGGTGAACAGATTTACAATGTGCTGTGGGCAACGATGGAACAATACCTTCGTCAGGGACTCATCAGCGATAGCAAGGTCTTGGATATCCGTCAAGTCGACGTAGGTCCCTTCCTCATTCCCGCTTGGTTCATGATATCATAATTATTTATCACCAGGTCTCCGATGCCAAAATTCTGGAGAACGAGGTTCCTGTGTTTGTGGTGACGTTTTCGACACAAGAAATGCTCCTCTTCCGGAACCCTGTCTCGCGTGAAATTGTCATCGGCGCCGAAAACCGTGTCGAGCAATGCGTATACGCTGCTGTCCTAACCCGTGTTGCAGAGGAGATCTCAGACGAGTTGACAGGCGGATGGAAGGTTGTCGAGGTGGGTCTCAAATCTGTCTTTTCACTTCCCTTCCATTTCCATCTCATCCGTTTTTCTTTTTCTCTGTAAAACAGATGGCGCGTAGATCCGCACGGGCATATCTTTAGCCTACCCGTTTCATCCTCTTTCACTCCATCATCATGTTCGTCGTTCAACACCTTCTGCCTATCCAGTTATCATAGACTGTTGCATCCACTACGCACGGTGCGCCCACTTACATAGCCAAGTAGCATAATATCCAGTTCATCGATTGGACTCACTGCACAAATTCACCACTCATACAGTTCTGCGGGTCTTGGACTTATCGTGTTCTGAGCGGTCTCTTCTTCTCGGCCTGTTTATCGCGCTGCGTAAAAGTATTTCGGGTGGTTCAACATAATGAGATACCTTAGGGTCTCGTCGGGGAATAATAATCCTGCGTAAGCTTTGTCAGATATCGCTATAGAGTCACGAAATGAACAACGCAAATTCACGAAGACTTATCACTCACTGTTCGCAGTACAATGATGTGCTGTACTCATTCCAGAATTGAAGGTTTAATAGTCCTTTCACTAACTGTCTTGCCTGACTAATTCATGGGATAGCCGTGCCTCCTGTTTCTCTCTGCCATTCGGAACTCACTGTCGGTAAGAATGTGCACGTAGGGAGCGATAGATAATATTGCTCCCTGAATCAACTGTCCATATAGGCTGGTCCCGCCGCACGCACGCTTGTAGCGCGGAACACGACTTTAGCTCAAACGCCCTGGCCCGGTCGAGCTGACCCAAAACCCACTTCACTATACCTTGAACATTATCGTTTTTCTATTTCATGCGCCTTGGAAACTTCTCCGCACATGTTGTGGTTGATGGCAGTGAGTCAAAAGAATATGAAGTTACCGTAAACAACAGTGGGACACAAGTGACATGTTGGATTGCCTCGGAGACTGGAAAGGTATGCATGCACGCATGTGCAGACATAAGCTTTTTTCAAGTGTTCGATTGATCTTTCGCTGGTGCAGAAGTTTTCTGCAAAGTGGAAACGCCACTCGACCACTCCAAAACATCTAGACAGCAAAGGGGTTTTAACCGTGGATGGCAAAAGATGTGACACCTTCATTTTCGCTAAGGATTCAAGCTCGGATAGTATAACTTTCTCGGCGATATTTCTCGGTGCTGCGAAGGAGAGAGAACTGATGTTCTGTAACCTTCAGCTGACTGGTACATACGTTTCTCTGTTTCAAATCTTCGAGTCTGATTAGCAGCTAAGACGACGAAGTCCTGGTGGGGAAGCTTGCTTCAAGTCACCTAGGGGACATTACGCTGCGCGTTGCTGGTGGAATCATGGGCCAAGAAAGCAGAGAAAGTGAAGAAAGTGAAGATGAAGATACACCAGTGACAGACGTGGGACTGACGAGTGACACAACCATTTACCATGAGAAAACCGTGAAAAAGCTGACGACCCATTGCGTTGGGTAAGACTGGTTACTTATGTATGTGCGCCCACGTCTTGTTAACATGATTCCCCAGCTTTGGACCAGAGCGGGAAGATAGTGACTGCGAGCTAGTGAAGTTTGCGCGTAACCGGGACCCTCCCTCAAATTCGTCTTCAAGTACAGGCCGATTGGTGTGTTTCCAATCAATTCCCACTATGAAGACGTTGTATATTCAGTTTACTTCCAGAGATTCTGCAGGCAAATGGCATTGCACCACGGCCCACTCCGGCTCTTGCCGTTCCTACCACCCTTTCTGACCACCCTTCTGGCGCACAAACGGAAACCCAAAGTGCGGTGTTAGAAAAGATAGCCCTCCTGGAGGTCGGTGTGGTTCAAACTCTTGGAATGAACTTGTGGAGAGTAATAACGACTACCTAGAATGAACTGAAACGCTTGCGTAGTCAAGTCCTTGGTGAAGTGGAAGACCAGAAGCCCAAACGCATCAAAAGGGAGCATATAGAGGGGCACCCCGTCGTTCATGGAGAAGTCATCGACCTCACTTAGCCTTGAGCCATAACTAAAAGGGGTAGCACCGCAAAGGTATGTACGTCCAAAACTGAAGTACAAAGGTTCACTACTCATACACAACCTAGTAGATTTATCATGTACTGAACGGCCTTCTTTCAGTCCGTTTATACCACAGAGCGGAAGTATTTCTGGCGAATCGACATAATGGGATACCTTAGCCTCCTCTTGGTACCCTCCCCCAAGTCTCGTTTTGGTCTGCAGTGGAGCCTGTCGTGTCACCGGCTGAATCCTTCGCTCCTTGAGATCCGTGCCGGCCGTGGGATGCATGGGAGACGGTGGAACGCTGAAGCTGACACCAGACGAACTCAGTGAGCCGTAAGCCTCACCTTTTATACGACGTGACAGGCTCAATATTGGATTACGGGGATACCTTTGTATTAATATAAATACACCGTCGAAAGGTCAGGCCAATTGAACAACGCAGAAGGTTAGAGGCACTCCTCCATGAAGACTCATCGCTGTGTTCACAGTACAAGTGTGTATTGTACTCATCCCGGAATTGAATATTGATAGCAAAAGATGTAATGACTTCATCTTTTTCAAGGATTCACGCCTGGTCAGTATAACTTTCCTCGGTGATATTCCTCGGTGCGAAGGAAAGAGAGCTAAATGATTGGAATTGTCGTGTTTGTCTGTCCACAGCTGTAGGAGGTTGGGGATGCTGGTTCACCCTATTATAGCAGACATGGTCCTCCAACATCTAGCAAATTAAATCCAAGGATACTTTCAAGGCCCCAACGACCTCTGTCCGGACATTTCTTGTGTCAGCGAACGAAACTTCGAGCACTACGTGCCGAAGTCAATCCTACCTAGCCATCAAACATTACTGTATCGCATGCGCGTAAGGGAAACACCAATTCACCATTTATTCGACGTACAATGGTAGTACAGTTATTGAAAGGGGTACAGGAGCGGGCAAGGGGGTTTACAATATTCGTACAAGTTGTCTTGGGAGAGGTATGCGATTACGTTGCGAGAGCAAACAAGATGCTACCGTACGAGGATAATTGAACGTCCACACATGTCTAGTGGCTGCTACTCGAAGGTCGTGAGGTTGCACGGCAGTTCAGCTAATCGTATCAAGCCGTCTGGGACCTGGACCTTCAGGCTGTCAGATGCGCAAAGGGAGGAGAGGAAATAAACGACACGAACCTAAACAAGTCTACGAGTTTGGCGCCTATGCCGCTAGTAAAGGCCAGTAGTCGGGTAGAGATGGATGTTGGGGAACTTGGCCTTGATACGCTCTAAGAGCCATTCGAAGGGAGTTCCGTAGGTAATATCGGTATATTCCGCTTGGCCAGATCCACCAATAAGGAGGGCCGCGACTCGTCCCTGGCCGTCGACGATAATGGTACCAGAGTCACCACGGTCGGAGAACGCGGCGGACTTGTCATATGCGAGAATCGCAAACTCCATCGATGTTTGCGCGGTGCCGTCCGAAGAGTAGTCACGCACGAATGATTTGATGCCGGTGCCACGGCCAATGGTCGTGTTCGTCTTGCCACCGTTCTTGATCAGAAGGATGCATGGTTCACCGTCTGCCTCGCACATTTTTGGGCTGGCCAGCTCGTCTTCCGGGACGATGCCTTGAATCGGAAAGAGGCGGTCATAGGGATATTCGAACATAGAGGGAGCCGTCTGGTCAGGGTTCATCATTGAGGTAAATTTGCCTGGCGTGATCTCCGTCCCTGGATATAGTAGTTAGAATAGACGGACTTAATAAAATAGACTAAAACGTACCCAAGTCGATCACATTGCCCCTGAAGTTGGCCCAGTTGATCTTGTTGCGGTCAAGCTCAATCAAGGCCCAGTCCTCAGTGTAGCGCTTGGTGCCGGCACCAACAGTAATAGGAGGGGCATACAGGACGTGGCCGATGACACGGTGCCTCTCCTGGCTCCAGACCTTGGTGACATTGCTGTGGAACTTGTTGATTTCCTTGATCGATGCTTTCGCCGCCCTCAAACTGGACTCGACTACTGCCTGTTCTGCCTCGACGCCATCCGCGTCCGGGCTCGCCTCCCTCTGCTGCGGTTTGCAAAGCTGCTTCTGGTACTGGTCCACCATGACCGTGTCATCAGCGATCTTGACCATGGCAGACGTGAGTATGCCCTGGAAGGCCTCGGGACCAGAGAGCATGACTTCAACAGGGCACTGATTCTTCTGCGTACGGTGATAGAGCTTGTTCTGTACATCCTTGGGTGGGAAGACAACATGGCGCGCAGTGAGAATGTAGACCGTCTCGCTGTGGCGGCCTGCAGAGAGGTAGAGAGCTCCAGTGCCCTCGGCATACCGAGTGGGGAGGGATGCAATAGAGAGGCCGAGAGCCGCAGTGAGAGGACTGCGAACGCTGGCAGTTGGGTTTGCAGCGGCGACATAGTTTAGGAGCTTAGGGCTGGACCGCCTGAAGACCGACTCACGAAACGCTATCTCGACGCCGACGATCTGAAATGAAAGGAGAATTTTCTCACAGGAAAGGGCTGCGACCTATGCGAGCTTGCGGGAGAGAGACCCCGGCCTGACACCGACCCATAGAACGATGGGACCGACGTGCTTTCCGGGTTCGGCGAAGCGGACAACGTCGATTGTTGTCCACCTGATTGTAGCAGAGTCCAGGTACTCGTATATGCGTATGCCCATCTCTTCCCATATGGCCGCAAACTTGTCGTCGAAGACCGGCCTGATCTCCCTCTTCACGAGGTATGTCTCAAAGCCAGTTAGCTTCTCCGACGGGGGCCCCGTACGAAAGACCAAGGTTGGTTTTGAAGGCAAAGCGCAGTAATACGTCGTTGCCTCTGGATCAACATCAGCATCCTCGGGCGAAGTAGGGGGACTGTCATCTGTGGAGATGAAGCCAGACTTGGAACTCCTAGTGATAGTTATGGAATTTCCTCGCTATGTCGAAGCACAAGTCGAGAAATTCTTGTGAAACTTCTGTGTCAACCACTAGAAGAAGAGAGAGGGGAACAAGAAGGTGAATACGAGACGGTAGGAAGATGCTAAAGGGCTTACTTGTAAGTGATAGAACGTGAGTCGACGTTTGGTGAGGGACAAGAGAGGGAAACGCGCCTACATCTCCCTTTTATCGAACCCAAGGGGTACGCAGTTAGGGAGTCAAGACCCCTCTACCCCTATGTAAGCGACTATACTCAGGAAGTGCTAACCTTAGTCTGACTCGTCGTCAAAAATCACATGCACACCAGCATCGGACAACAAATCGCCCCTTTTGACCCATGAACAAAAACCACGAATACTGGTAGCCAGGAGTCCTGTAGAAGGCCTCAGACTTATACATAATATGATATGTAGTCAAGTACTCGTCTCCGGAAAATCTTCACCGCGAGAGGAAACTTGGGAACAATTCAAATCCACGCAACGCCTCTCGCCACCTACCGAGAGTCAGAATCGCCTTTGACCACGGTACTCACACTCACTTCCACGGTCAACCACTCGTGGTTCCAAGAGACTGAGATGGCACAAAGTCGGCGCGGATGTCGGCCCGAACTTCTCGGGGGAGGCGTTCGAGAGCCGCGAAGCCAAATCTTTACGTCGTCACATGCGTGGCTCGACGCGCCTTGGATTGAGACTCTTTCGCTAGAGCTGACCCAGATCCTTGTAACTAACCGTTTCCCCATTCCATGTATCTTGGAGACTTCTCTGCACATGTTGTGGTTGAGGGGAAAGAGTTGGAAGAATATGAAGACACCATGAGCAACGGTGGAAAACGAGCGACGTGTTGGATCGCCTCAGAGGCTGGCAAGGTACGTATGCATGCGTAGATACAAGCGTTGTCTCGGAGTTCTACTGATTCTTTCACTGGTACAGAAGTTTTCTGTAAAATGGGAATGTCATTCCCTGAAACGTCTTTCCAACAGAGGGAAATTAATCTTGGATGGCATAATGTGTGGTTCCCTCGTTCTTTCGAAGAATCACCTGCACAGAGGGGATTTCGGGGGGATACATTTGGGCACGAAGGAGAGAGATCTACTGTTCTGTGATCTTCAATTGACTGGTACACATGTTTCTCCGCTTCAAATTTTCAAATGTCTAATTCCTGGCTAAGATGATGAAGCCCTCTTAGGGAAGTCCGTTTCAAATCAGCTAGGGGAAATTACACTGCGTATAGATCGTGGAAGGGTTGATCAAGAAAATGAAGGAAAAGGTACACTGGGGACACGTTCAGGGTTGTCCACTGACGCGAATGTTTACCACGAGAAATCCGTGAAAAACTGACGACCCATTGTGTTGGGTAAGGCAGGCTAAGTGACTTATACCCGCATACACCTTGTTACTATGACCGCCAGGTTTGAACCAGAGCGGGAAGGTCGCTTCCACAAAGTGGTGATATTTACGCCTAACCGGAGTCCTCCCCTTGAATTCGTCTTTAAATACAGTCCAATTGGTGCACACTCAATCATTCCCACCAGATGTCATGTATTCAGTTTACTTTCATGGATTCTGCAGGCAAATGGCATTGCACCACGGCCAACTCCCGTCATCTCTACGGACTCCCTTTCTGGGACACAAACGGAAACTCAAAGTGTGATCTTAGAAAGGATAGCACTCCTCGAGGTTGGTGCGATTCACACTCTTGGAATGAGTGGAGAGTGATTATGACCATCCTAGAACGAGCTGAAACGCTTGCGTAGTCAAGTCCTTGATGGAACGGAAGACCAGAAGCCTAAACGCATCAAGAGGGAGCATACAGAGACCCACCCCGTCGTTCATGGAGAAGCCATCGACCTTATTTAGCCTTGGCAGCAACTCATTTCATCAGGTGGTCGTATATCCACTACGTCAGTCTCTGATCACGTAGTACTCCCGATGCAAGTCTTACATGTATGATATCTTTCCTCGCTGTGCCAAGCTGCAAGTGATAGGCTATACTATCATACTGGTGGCAATTTAATGACGTTCTGCTGTAGAATAAAGCTGGCTCCTAAGACTTATTCTCGATGCGAAGGACCAGTAAGTCCGCCCCAGGCTGTTAACGCTCGATAGTATTGGATTATGGGAGATACTCAACACCTTCATATTATAACTACACCATCCGCAGGTCAGACAGGCCCGCACGCGTTGCGAGTAAAAGAGAAAAAGAAAGAACAAAAGAACAATTACGTAAACAAACATCCCCGTCAGCAGCAGAGACAACAACACTCCATCGCCGTTATATACACACAGAAAAACAAGCGAAATTTCTCTCTGCCATCTCATCCCATTTCATCTCGATGCCGTAGATGCAGCGTCCGAGGTGACACGGGATTCTTGACCATTCGCTAATCGCAACGTCAGCACACGATCATCAGACACCATCAGAATCTCATCCCGGCAACTTGGCATCATCGTCCTCATGGGGTACTGAGGTGCGGGGTACATCGTGGGTGGCTGTGGCGGGACAGCAGGAGGTCCATATCCTGACATAGACGGAGATCGACCGTACATGGACGCTGGCGGCGATTGATATGGATTATATCCTTGTTGTTGTGTAGGGTAGAAAGTATTTTGGTGTAGGTTGGCAGTGTGTGACGTTGATGGTGGTGTTTCTGCGAACAAAAGACGAAGGTTGTTCCCCTGGATGACTTGCGACATAACTCCAGTTTCCACATGCCGGACCTCGACGAACATCGGCTCAAAGGCAAGGACATAAGGATAATGTAGCGCTGTGCCCCACCTGTCAGCCGTGGAAAAACCCCCTCAAGGTTTCAAGACTCACCGAAACCGGTTGGCGACCCTTCCCAATGGACCATAAATTCTTGCCTTGACCGCCACCCATTTTTGTTGACATAAAACGCAAAATCTAATTACGGTTTCAACCGGCGGTCGCAACCCACAACGTAAAAAGCCAAGCTCACCATCATAACACAACAGAAACTCATTGTCGATGCGATAGATGGCCATGGGTCGCAAATTTTCTTTCTTCCTCACGAACTCGAGCGAGGCATCGGCAGGGTCAAGAAGGCCTTGTGTATCCAAGCTCTCAAGATCTACGATCTCGAAGCCTTTCGAGCACCCGACACATAGCTTCGTCTTGAGGAAATGTATTGAACTCGATTCCACAGGGATATAAAATTCCTAATAATAATCAAAAAGAAATCCACAAAGGAAAACTGCAGCCAAGCATACCCTGAACAGTTTTAAGGTATCATTCCCGCCTTGTAGGAGTTTCCGGAACGTCGGTTTACTCCGTCCGCGGACATTTTGGTCGATCGGTTCGAGTGTCTTGATCGTACTCGAGAGTGGACTAGACTTGACGACGCATACCAACACCTTGCCGAGACAAATACCAGCTTTGAAAAACGACGTGTGTGAAGATATTCGTTTCGCGCGTCTCAGGCCAGCCGTAGGGTCCTTTGGATCCAAGGCGTCCAACGGGAAGGTGACCACTTGCCGCTCTGTAAGTGAAATAGAGCGCGCGCGTCAGTTTCTGTGCCGTGAATGAACCGATCAATGTTGCGCACCCGAGAGCACGATGAGAAGCTGATAGTCTTCAAGGACATCGACTTGCGAGACGTCCAGTAATGCCAGTACTTTGACGGGATCCCTATTTGGTTCCCGCAAGTCGGTTAGGTAAACGCCATCGTCCGTCCCATACACGATATGTCTGCCGCCTCCTACACCACACACCACCAAAATAAATCAACCACCTTGTCGGTATACACGCCGAAGTAAAAACGAACGCACCAAATGGAGCCGCACACGTCACCTTATTCACACCCGTAAAGAAACCCTCCGAAACCGTCACCGTCTCAAATACCGTACTCCTCTCCTTCAACAGCTCCTGCTGCTTCGTAATATTCTCGACCCATTTCCGGTGACTCACGATCGTACTCGCCCATAGCGTCAGTTGGTAATATTTGCGGCCAAGATGGATGAACGTGATCGCAAGCCCGCCTTTGCCATCTACGCGGACCGGGATCGCAGGTGCGTAGGGGGCACCACGATTGAAGGAATTTCGCTTCGTCAACGTGCGCGGCTGTCGGTTAGCAGGACGGTTGTTCCCTTGTGCATTTTCCTCAGGTACGGAGATAAAAAGAAGATCCAGCGGAATCGGCTGCGAAAGAACGTGCGCATCAGCAATGTAGGGACGCATCCCGCCAGGCAATATCTCGTAGGAAAGGAACTCACGCGTCGGTGAACCTTGTACTGCTCGTGCTTGCTTTTCTGCTTGACCATCAAGAGTGCGTGATCGAAGAGGTAAACCAGCAGATCACCGTTGTCGCCTTGACCCCCCCTCTTATTCAGCGAACCTTTGTAGACCAGCTCCCTCTGAGGATCTTGCAAGCGAAGGTCCTAGCAAACGAAAGCATCAGCCAACCCAAACCCACCAACCCCACCCACTCCCGGCACCACCAACACCGACATAACACAACGTCATATACATTTATACATAAATACTCACCACGTGCTCTCCAGGTCTAAACACCAACTGCTGATCCAACTGCATCAAATTAAACCTATTCTCCGTCTTTCCTGTCTCCACATTGACTTTGCGGAGAAACTCGCGGACCATCGATACCACCTGTGTGAGCGTTTGCTTATCGGCATTGTCCTCGGATGTATGTTTGATCACGGCTTCTAGTAGGAGCGGGTACCGTGCTAGACGAGTCGTCGGTTTCGTGAGATACCCGTTCAGCTCCAGCTTGCGGGATTCGGGAAGCCGTTCCGTGGTCTGCACGAATTCACACGTGTCAATTATCACACACACACAAGACTCCAGATCCCTCCCGCCGGCGGTACGGGCAGACCACAACGACAAGGAGACACCATAACGCACCTCCACAAATGCCGCAAACGCCGGATTGGAACTTTTTTCTTTCTCAAACTCATATTTCCCATAAAGCTGATGCGCCCCGTACGACACGAAGGGTCCAAAATGGGGAACAATGTCAATAAAGATGTCCCCAATACGCTCGACGACGGCGTATGCCTTTTGGCGTTTGTTCAGTGCATCGCGGAGGCGTGTATTTACCGCGATGATGTCGTGTATGTTCCAAAAGACTTGTTGGATGAAGTCGGTACGGCGATCGGCAGAGATGATATCGTTGTCTTTGAGGTTTCCGATCCATACCTGTCGGCGAGAGGACAGGTGTGGAGTACAAAGGGGAGGGGGTATGGGGAATGAGAAAGAAAGAAAAAGAAAATTAGAAGAGTAATGACGTACATCTCGAAGGTACTCCATATCCCGCACGAAGTCCCGCTCCGTGTAGATCACTTCGTTGATAGCTTCTTGCCGCTTCTTCTCGGTATCTGATACGCTACTTACAACTTCCTGCGGCACGGAATGTATCCAAAGTGTCCCGGGTTCCTGAGCGAGTACGGGGAATAAATAACAACCCGCCCAGCAAGATAACAACACGCACCACGAGGTCGCCCAAGGACTCCTTCGAAATCTGCTTCTTGAGACCAGGCTGAGGCTTTCATAGTTCAACCTCGCTTGTTGTTCCAACCTTCGGGGACATGCAATACTATAACAAAGCTGATCCCTCGAACACGTTGGCGAATAACAATCCGTTAGAAGCGTGAATACCCCGGTCGGGAGAGGAACTTCGTCCATTGATTCGGAACCTTGCCGTCCTATGGGCTCGGCAGTCCCAGTAGCAGGTGACACATCTTTCTCATGGGAATCAGACGATCCGTGACCGAGAGACACACCACGCGTAATCTCTGTTTTATACTCCTGCTCGGGACTCTTCACCTCATCGTCTCCATCTCCGTTGTGATCGTTGTTATTGTTCGCTGCGGCCAGCTCTCCGCTGACGAATGGGCTCAGTGTCGTGCGGAATTGATACAGTTCCGCAGCACTATCGCGTAGTCGGTGGTCGTACGTGACATCGTGGAAGAACTTCTGGGCATCGAGGGCACGTCCAAGGAGGAGTGCCAAGTTCCTATCTGTTGTCTTGATGATAGCACCGATCTTATCTACTGCTTCGCGTCCATCGAAGGCGTCCTTGTACGTCAAGCCATCTTTGACCCTATCTGCGAGCGTGATGCGGGCCTTGAATGCTTCTGCGACGCGTGAGAGGAGGGCTGGGTACACTGAGAGACCACGGATCCTGTTTGGGGGTAGACGGGTAGGTGAGCTTCTGCCAGCAGCCTGGAACCCATGGGGAATAGGAGCGCGTGAGCGAGGGTCGACAACAGTACGTAATGAGGCTGAGGCAGCAGACATGGACAGGGTTCTGTCCTGACCAGTACGATCGCGGCGGGAAGGAGGGCCAGGCATGGTGCGGGCAGACTCGGAAGATCGCCGGGTGGAGGTGTTGAGAAGTGAATTAGCTGCTGTTGAGTGGTCGACAAGGGTGCTGGATACCGGGGAGATGCTAAGCGAAGAAGAGCGGGTGGCCGCTTTTACTGCGGTCGCGGTTGTATCCAGTTGGAGGTGGTAAGGAGGAGAATGGGTTGTAGGTGGCGAGTGATGGCCAGATGCGAGGGAGAGAGGGCTGGGTTGGCGATGCTGCTGGGCGGCCACGGTGGTTTGAGGTAAAGACGTCATTGCTGTAGATGGTGAGGATACAAATGAGTACATCACGTCGCCCACCAGATATGGATATGATAGACTTTGCACACGCACGTGAGTGTTCTGGGGTCAGTTGTGCCCATGGCAGTTCGCTGTAAGCCTCGTTAGACGACCTGTCGTGAGGGTCCTGAGAGCCAAAATCGAGGCTTATGCGACCGATCTCCTCTTCGAGGTGCACGCCTATGCGAGGTATGTCATTTGCCGAGACGCCATGAGGCGCACCATTGCGAGGGGCCATGGTGAGAGGAAGGGTAGAACTGCTGGTTAGATTGACCTGGGCCCGATAAGCCTGCGCAGGAGTGAGTCCTGCTCTCGTGAGTACGTCGAGGCCGGGGTCGGGTGGGTCGTCTGGTCTTGGAGCAATGATGCCAGCCGCATTGTGGGGAGAACTGAGGACGGATGGGTCCCGGCCGTGGGTTGAAGGCGGAACGAGGGCGTGGCCGGGGTGTTGAGGAGGGTACTGCGGGTGATGATGGTGATATGAGGGGTGTTGGTATTGTTGAGACTGTCTTGGCTGGCTGTAGTAGCTCTGCTGCGAGCGAATCGAGGCTGCATGGGACGTGCGCTTGTCTGCTGGCTGATACCCTGGCTGATGATAGACAGACGGGTGCGGTGGGTGGTAGTACTGGCCCTGCTGGGGAAGCAGATGGTGCGAGGTGGATGGTCTCCCGAAGATGGACTCGTATGCTTCGTGTCTTTTGTCTGGCGGGTGTCGTGGCCCAGTTGGACGGTCCATTTGCAGATTTGTTAGTAGCGTGTCGCTGAGGACGATGGCGACGGGGTGGACACGGTTGGAGGTGTGCGGACGCCTGTTCAGCCCGTTTTGGAACTCTGCCCAGTCCGACAAACTCGCCTCCCGTCGATGATGACGATGACGACCGCAACGACGCAAGTGCTAAATTAACTGACAAGGCTCCACGATCTCACTTTTGACAGCCACTGACGCCATCCTGTCTAGATCACTGAAGTCATCGATGGGACCAGCGCACCCATGGTCCAACTCCATCTACACACGGGTGGGAGCACCTCTGCGTCCTCCGCATTCCGTCGGGACCGACCATGCGTGCAAAGATCATGCCATTTAGGCATGGAGACCATACTAGTTACACCCGCATCCCACAGCCGTCCGAGCATGTCATCCCAGCTGCACGAGGAAGGAAACGCAAGGACTCCGGATCATCCGATTAGACCTGCCAGGCTAAACATACACCTAAAGCAACCGTGCTAAACCATGTGGACCATGGTGTTCGGCGAAGCTGGGCCGTCGTCGCGGGTGGTTAGCCCTCATTGGACAATCCGATACACTACCGGGCCAGTTGTCATTACTTTGTAGTTTTCTCCTATTGCACATCTGTGGCGACAATCTCCATATCGAACGAGCGCATCAGGTCTGACACTATAAGCTTGGCCCAACTGTATTATATCTATGGTTTCAATGACCGTCCTCTTCGAACATCCAAAACTGGATACCCTTATGGTTTTTGGTGAGGACTCTCCTGAATTGTCAACTGTTTGCTCAGCGCTCATCAATATTTTTTGGCGCTGAACCACTCATTGATACCGTTGCGATTACCATCATAGGTATGTGGTACGGGAGGGAGGAACTTCGAGTGTTTCTCAGGTAGATGTATGTATTGCTAAAATGCTAACGCTTGCAGCGCTCGGAAACCTTAGAGTTGAGGAGAATGGAATCTCAAGCAAGGGCTTGTCGTTCTTCATTCGGAACTTCGTTTCCGCCTAGGAAAAGCCAATAAGAAAAATACTCGTTCATCACTTCGCAACTGCGGGTACCCTTACATGTTCACTGATCCTCTGTAATACTAGGCATATTCCAGTACAAGAAGGGATGATAGACGAGCCTTATTTGCTACCTAGGACCCACCCTGCAGGTGTTGACTGAAACATTTCTGGCACTGCGATTTCTCCAGGTCGTCTGGTGAAGTGCAGTTGCCGAAAACGACGACACCATGCGATGGGTACTCGCATCGGCTCACTGAATCTTTTGGTTGATAAGTGGCCTTTATCTGTCTCCTGGCGACCCCTTGTAGATGCTGTGTTTTCACGCTGGTGTATTTGTCCGCCATCCCGTAACGATTTTTCTAGACCTCTTTCACCGCGAGTGACTGGTAAGTTCATCCTAATCTCCTCTCATCAGGATCAGGGACGGCTCCTCTTCCACTTCCCCCGTTTCTTTCGTCACGCGTGCCTGCACGTCTTCCATTGTCCTTCAACGGCAGAATTCACGCCACAGATTTCCGTCTCACATGTGTAGTCGAGGGAGTGGCACCCATACAACCTCCGTACGCCCAAGTTTATCGACTTGCTCGAACTTTCCAACTTTCGCCCATCGATAAACCTCTCGGCCCTGCCTCGAAGAGAAAAAAGGGTCAGAAAACCAAAATGGTTCAGGCAAAAAGGCAGTTGGAGACTTCCCTCTCCGGCCTAGGTGCGCCCACTCAGAGTTGGCAATTTCATGTCGATCGAATTCGTGCCAGATATAATTCTGGGGGACATGCAGCTGCCAGCTTCGATGTGCGTTATGTCTGACACGAGGTCGTCAAGTTCCCGTTGAATTTCATTCATAGGCATCGATAAACCGTACTCCTGGTACCGCAAATACCTATCGCGTTAGTCCTTTCCTTTTGTTTTTGTATGCGCAAACAAAGGCGGGAACTGGAAGGACAAGGAGGAATGCCGACATGATCTCTCTCGTATCTGCCATACTCCAAAATCAGGGCACGTGTGCACCTTGTCCTACGTATAAAAGGGGACGTGTAAAGCGAGCGATGAAAGGCATAGATTCATCGTACCGTATCTCAGGTGCGTGCGTGAATTTCCCCGCTATGCAGACACGTCTGACAGACACTCTAGCTGTAAAATTATAACATGTCCGACTCACAAGACTCACCCGCTCTCGCATTACCGCCCTTCGATCATGTGAAGGCAGACGTGATCCTGCGGTCATCTGATGGCGTAGACTTCCGCGTCTTCAGGCTCTTCCTTTCCCTCGCATCACCCTTCTTCGAGACGCTCTTCGATCTTCCCCAACCATCTGAGGAGACTAACACCGACATGGAGATCAAAGACGGACTCCCCGTTATTCCTGTCTCAGAGGACAGCAAAACGCTAGATTCACTCCTCCGCTTCTGCTACCCCTGCACCCTGGCGGAGGACCCTGTGCTCGAGGATTTCAGAGAGATCATTTATGTTCTCGACGCAGCGAAAAAGTATTCCCTTGATGCCATCCAGCAGGCGGTGCGCAAATCTCTTTTCATTCCAAAAATGTTGGAAACGAATTCGCTCCGCTGCTTCGCAGTCGCCTGCCGCACCTGACGAATGGTACTGCTAGTGAGGTGAGCGACTCGCGCTCATAGACTTTACTTTACTTTTTCGGTAGCATACACGCCCTCACTGCGCGGCCCTGGGAGTTTTTTTTCGTCCTTTCGTTGAATCTCCCAGGTGCGTATACAGTACACTACGCTAGTCTAGTAGCTAATATGAAGTCCTTTCGTTGAATATCCCAGTGTCCGCCTCCAGCTAGACTGTGTCTGCTGTGAGGTTATGAGCCCCGCCAGCGACCTTATAACCATATCAACTTCAACCTCAGTTGACTCGTTCCGTTTTACCAAACTGTCTGGTTCAAACTATGCAGAGTGGGCCGTCAACATGAAATCCACTCTACAGTCAAAGTACTTATTGCTTATCACAGATGGAAGAGAACTATGCCCATCTGAACCACCCGAAGTGCAGCCACTTACCATGACTGCAACGGAGTTTAGAGCGGCGAGGAAGGAGTACCTCGACTGGTGTCTCCGAGATGAGGCGGCACAGGGTTTTATGAAGGGTGCGGCAGAGCCGTCGCAGTGGCCGCATGTCAGCGAGTGCCGCAGTGCCAAAGAAATGTGGGACACCTGGAAAAAAATTCACGTCGACAATCAACAAAAGATAAATGTTCATTACTTCTTCGAAGAACTCTACACCAAGAAGTATGTCGATGGAACACCAATGGCCGACCACATAGCAAAGATGCTGGATATTCGGAACTGCATCACAGCTGCTGATGAGGAACTCCCAGACCTCCACGTTGCAAGTGCACTCATACTATCACTCCCCAAGACTCCGACATGGGAGCTGATAAAGATTCAACTGTTTGGGCTAGATATGCTCACCTCCGAGATCGTCAGCATGAAGCTCCAGGCAGAGGCCAACTGACGCATGCAGGAAAAGTCAGGGACTGAGACTGCACTGTGTGTGAGTGGTGGCAAAAAGTCGAAGAAGGGAAAAGGGAAGGGTCCCCAGCCTGATGACATATGTCGCTACTGCAGCCCACTGGCCATTGGGCTAGTAAATGCCCACACTGTGAGGAGGATGAGAAAGCCAAGCAAGGAAATGGAGAGAAATCAAACTTCACCATTGGAAACCTTTGGGAATTAGGGACTCAAGAAGTCAGATAGATATACATGGTGTCGAGCAGCCCTACAGCAGCCCCTGCAGGGGTGCTGTTGGATTGTGGTGCATCTGCACATATGTTCTGTGACCAAAAATACTTCTGATCATTTACTGCCAACAAATCGGATGAGACTATTTCTGTTGGGGATGCAAGAGACATACCTGTTGCCAGGAAAGGGTCAGTTGAACTGAAGTGTAGACTACCTGATGGGATCAGGACTGTTGTCCTGCATGGTGTGCTGCATGTACCACAGCTTGATGCAAACCTGGTCAGCTTGGGGACCTTACAGTGGGCAGGAGCCAGGCACCACAGCCATGAGGAAGGAATTAGTGTAACCCTTTGGGGAGATGAATTACTCCATGCATTGTTCCCAACCTCCACTGCAACACTCTACCATGTTGACATGGTAGATCATGAGGTGGCATTTGCTGCTGTTGCCAGTGGGAGCATGCAAGTTTGGCACCATCGACTGGGCCACCTGCACCTAGATGCTATTCGAACCATGGTGCAGAAGAACCTTGTCAATGGACTCAATATCACATCACCCAAGGACTTTGACCATGTTTGTGAGGGTTGTGTCCTCAGCAAATCACATTGGCTACCATTCCCTAAGGTCAGCAACACTGTCTACTCGAAAATGGAACTAGTTGTCATGGATATCACAGGTCCTATGTCAGTCGAGACTTGGACACAGCGCACTTATGCCATGGTGATCATTGAAGCTAGTTGCTGATTTGGAGTAGGATGGGTCCTTGAGAAAAAGGAGGAGGTTGCAAGTGCCTTGAAGGAAGTAGTTGTGATGTTGGAGAGGCAGTCAGGCTGAAAACTGAAGAAAATGTGCTCAGACAATGGGTCTGAGTTTGTCAACTCAGTAGTAGAATCCTTCTGTTGACAAAATGGTATCCTACATGAGACCACAGTGCCCTATGCCCTGGAACAGAATGGGATTGCTGAATGAAACATCAAGACCTACTTTGAAATGGTGAGACACATGATTCAGTCACATGTAGTCCTAAAAGTGGGTCATCTGACATGTACATTTTGTCCTGAAACTGGGACTAACCAACATTGGCCAGTGGTCCCTAGGGGTGGGTAGGCTGGACTGTGAAGGTGGGGTTGGCCTATGTCACAGGATGATGGATCAACTGCCCTGGAAGTGGGGTCAGCCAACATGACTATAGGATGGATTGATGACCTGGAAGTGAGGTTGGCTGATGCAGCTATGGGATGAATTAGTAACCTGGAAGTGGGGTTGGCCAGCACAGCTATGGGATAAATTAGTGACTTGGAAGTGGGGTTGGCTGACACAGCTATGGGATAGATTAGTGTCCTGGAAGTGAGGTTGGCCAATGCAGCTATGGGATAGATTAGTGTCCTGGAAGTGAGGTTGGCCAATGCAGCTATGGGATGAATTAGTGTCCTGGAAGTGGGGTTGGCCAACACAGCTATGGGATGAATTAGTGACCTGGAAGTGAGGTTGGCTGACACAGCTATGGGATAGATTAGTGTCCACTTCTAGGACAGCCAATGCAGCTATGGGATGAATTAGTGGCCTGGAAGTGGGGTCAGCCAACACAGCTATGGGATAGATTAGTGTCCTAGAAGTGAGGTCAGCTGACACAGCTATGGGATAGATTAGTGTCCTAGAAGTGAGGTCAGCTGACACAGCTATGGGATAGATTAGTGTCATATAAGTGAGGTCAGCTGACACAGCTATGGGATGAATTAGTGACCTGGAAGTGGGGTTGGCCAACACAGCTATGGGATAGATTAGTGTCCTAGAAGTGAGGTTGGCTGATGCAGCTATGGGATGAATTAGTGACCTGGAAGTGGGGCTGGCCAACACAGCTATGGGATGAATTAGTGTCCTAGAAGTGAGGTTGGCTGATGCAGCTATGGGATGAATTAGTGTCCTGGAAGTGGGGTTGGCTGACACAGCTATGGGATAGATTAGTGACCTGGAAGTGGGGTTGGCCAACACAGCTATGGGATAGATTAGTGACCTGGAAGTGGGGTTGGCTGACACAGCTATGGGATGAATTAGTGACCTGGAAGTGGGGTCAGCCAACACAGCTATGGGATAGATTAGTGTCCTAGAAGTGAGGTTGGCCAATGCAGCTATGGGATGAATTAGTGACCTGGAAGTGGGGTTGACTGACACAGCTATGGGATGAATTAGTGTCCTAGAAGTGAGGTTGGCCAATGCAGCTATGGGATAGATTAGTGTCCTAGAAGTGAGGTTGGCCAATGCAGCTATGGGATGAATTAGTGACCTGGAAGTGGGATTGGCCAATGCAGCTATGGGATGAATGGGTGTCCTGGAAGTAGGGTTGGCTGTCCTGGAAGTGAGGTCAGCTGATGCAGCTATGGGATGGATTGATGACCTGGAAGTGGGCCAGCTGACATGGCTGGGGGAAGGGATGATGTCCTAGCAGTGGGGTCAGCTGATGTGGCTGGGGGAATGAACCATGACCTGGAGTTATAGTTGGGCAGACACTTTGCAAGAAAGACCAATATCTTGATAGTGGGTCAGTGGGGCTGGTCAATCTTATTACTCAGTACACTACTTCCTTGGTAGTTAGCTGGCTGAACCCACATGGTTGTGGAAAAATCCTATGTCCTATCCTTATCCTGTGGTATTGGAGTTAACTCTACCAACCTGGCCATTGTGTTGGAATTAACATTGGACAAATTTACTCAGTTGTGTATCAGTACTTAAGGAGGAATTGTCCTGCAGGAAATTACTTTTTTTTCTGAACATTCAATGTCATATGAAATTTGAAAACACAAAGCAGCCATTTTTTATTGTAGTACATGCATATCATATGTATCAAGGTAGGGTATTTTACAAAGATTCCAACAGCCAGGATGATGTTTGCCCCATTCCCTGTGTCAGTTTGGTAGCCCCTTTGGACATGCAGATAGTATAGGTTTGGGGAGGCTGAGATGTGCCCTGTGTGTCCTTCCCACAGCCAGGATTCTTGCACTCATAGGAATAAGTCTGCCCTGAACAACCAGCTTCCCACTTCTGAATGCTATAACACTGAGGGCACTGGGCAGGCAATTGTTGTCCCCAAGGCCTAATGAACTTGTCAGTCTGGATAAATTTCTCCACCACTACCTTCTCCTGCCACAACATCAAGATGATGTTGGAGTGCCTACCCAACATACCACAGTCATTCAGGGCATACCTGACTGCACTTTGGACATGGAAGCCTTGAACCAGGGTGTGGTCAAGGACACTCATGAGGAAGGGAATGGTGGTGACTAGTTGAAGTCTCTCAGCATCAAAAAGCAGCATGGACCTTGGCTTGAAACTGATATGGTGTCAGCCATAACCACCAACATTGAAAGAAACCTACTGTTGCACAGCTGCCTTCAGTCCTTGGAAGCTCTCCTCCTTCCTTACAGTAGAACCACATACAAAGAAGATGAGGTCTCCACCCTTGACAATGTTGGAGAAGGGTAACAGAAGGCCTTGCAGAAACTGCAACTGATCAGATGGGAGTGACAGTCAAACAATGGTGACTTACCTCAAAGACCTCTGTGGCTATTGGAACCTTATTCTCCATTCCAGAGAACAGATTCCCCCTGTCTTCATCAGTATGAGTAGTAAGGAAAATGACTACCTTAGCAAAGGTAGTCAGACTTGCAGCTGGCTTTGATGCTGCAGTGTCATAGGCATCTCTGGACTCCTCAGTGGCAAAGTTGAAGGGCAGTTGTGAGAAGTTGTGAGAAGTGGTAGGTGTCTTGTGTGAAATATCCCTGCAGCATGGTGTGAAGGATATGCACAGGGGCATGGCCAAGCTCCAGAGACTCAAGGTGGAGGTGGATAATGGCAGTAGAGTTACCAGCCACTTCAGAGGTGGTGGCATGCTCAAACCCCCCAATGACCACAAGAGGGTGTTTCAGGACTGGCTTGCCTGACAAGTAGAAGCCCTGTACTTGGAGTTAGAAGTGATTGGGGTGGCAATATGCACTTACAAAATAGGGCTGAGGACTTTCAAATCTTGTCATTTTCCAATGACAGGCAACACACCTGAAGTTCATCCAGAGTTTGAGTCAATGGCATTGATTCATAAAAGGGAGGTTAACACACCTGAAGGTCACAGGAAGCTGGGTGACCTCTGCAAGGCAATCCTCAGGTACTTGGACTTAGGCACATGATCATGTTGCTTACATAAGCTGTTAGAGCGCACCCATAAACTAGTAACATTCATCTAGTCCCTCAGTAGCTTGACAGACTACTGAGGATGAGTACACATCTACATAGATAGAATACCCTTACTAACTTGTATAGTTCCCTACAGGTACTATACTCAATATAAGTAGCTTGACAGACTACTGAGGTTCCCTACAGATTCCTCTCTGGGTTTCCCTCTGCAACCCCACAAACTTCTTCATGCTTTTGTTCTATGAATGTGGATTTCTCTTTGAGCTTCAGGATGTGGTAAATATTACCTAATTTCTATCCTGGGAGGCAAGTATTGACAACCTTTTTGTCTGGTGGGTGTTGTGGTCCAGTTGGATGGTCCATTTGCAGATTTGTTAGTGGTGTGTCACTGAGGACAATGGCAACAGTGTGGACATGGTTGGAGGTGTGTGGACACCTGTTCAACCTGTTTTGGAACTCTGCCCAGTCTCAAACTCACCTCCGTCGATGATGATGATGATGGCAACAACACAAGTGCTAAATTAACTGACAAGGCTCCATGATCTCACTTTTGACAGCCACTGATGCCATCCTGTCTAGATCACTCTACCTGAAGTAAAAGTAAACACATGGTGTAGTCACATTTAGTCACAACACATGGGCAGCCTGTGTGCCAAAACACCAACACTTATATAGACCCTGAGATGGGCCTGCCTAAATAGATCAGCCAGTACACATGGACAGGCCCAAGGGACTAAAGTGAGAGCAACATATGTATGGGCCTGTAAGTGCATTACCACAACATATGGGAGGGCCTGTGATGGGTAAGGATGTTGAAACATTTAGATGGGCCCATGACCAATTAAGTATACTGAGTTGCTGTAAGACATGGACAGGCCTGTCCTGGTAGGTTACACCCCTGTTGCAACACCAAGGCAGGCCCACCTATCATAACATGGAGAGGGTCACAACATAAGGATGGGCCCATCTATGATTAGAATACAAAGTTGGCAGCATATGGATGGGCCTGGGAGTAATATCATTTATGATGTTGCAACATCTAGACAGGCCCATCAGTAATCTCATGTATAGCATCACAACATATGGACAGGCCCTTCAGTAGTATTATTTATATTGTCACAACATATGGGTGGGCCCAGCCCCAGTAAGATGTACCCTGTCAAAACATAAAGATGGGCCCATCAGTAATGTTGTTTAATAGCATCACAACATAAGGATGGGCCCTTCAGTAGTATTGTTTATATTGTCACAACATATGGATGGGCCCATCAGTAATATCATCTAATAGCATCACAACATAAGGACAGGCCCTTCAGTAGTATCATGTATATCATCACAACAAATGGACAGGCCCATCTAGCAAGATGCACCCCTGTTGCAACATAAGGACAAGTCCATGTATGGTATTCTTAGGCAGCAGAAAGGGAGATCCAAGCTATCTACATAAGGATGGTCCATGTAAGGCATTCTCAGGCAGCAGAAAGGGAGATAAAAGGGATCTACATAAGGATGGGCCCATCCATGGTATTCTCAGGCAGCAGATAAGGGAAAACAAAGACCAGTGTTACAACATAAGATGGGCTGATCTGTCCATCACAGGATTACAAACCCTTGGCACTGCATAAGATGGGCCAATCCATCATATCATAGATAGCTCACCACAAATGGATGGGCCTATCCATAATTGGGTTATCCCCCTGTCACAATATAAGACAGGCCCAGGAAGACAAGAAATGAAGAAAGTGGAACCTCTTGCACTATAGAGTATCTGAATTTCCCACTATAAATTGTGTTTCACATTGGACGATTTGCCTATTCAGTTGGAATCTCAGGCACTGGTCTATGTAGCTGCAAGCCAGGCTCTTCCATTGGAGCAGATGGGAAACATGCAAAACAAACAGCAATGCTATTCCAGAACAATGCATCATATTTTTATCTGAGCCTCTGCTTCATATATGCATTCAGGATTATTGACTTGTACTGGTATTGCCATCATGCCATGGGAATCATTCATAGGTGGGATAAAAAATGCAACATCCATGTATTTTGTTGTCTGTCTTTAACCTCTGACTCTTCCACTCTCCAATCACCATCACCACTCTCACTGTCAAACTACTCCATCATCTTGTCATCAGAAACATGTCATTGTCATCATCTTGCAAGCTCTTCAAGAAATCACCTGAGCTCAATGCTGTGGCCAACTGCATCCTTCAAATTTACTTCAAGGATATCATGGAAAGCAGCAAGCTGGGAAAGGCAGACAAGATTGTGAAGTGGAGAGGTGCCATCAAGGTGATAAATGATGAACAAGTGCATCATAGCATCATCACATTTTTTCACTAACTGATGCATTCAGGATGCTGTATGCAACCTCATCACTAGGATGGATGAGATTCCGATGACCCTCATCAGCATTGACATGTTCTTAAAGTGGCATGAAGACCTCAGCTTGATCAAGCACCCATGGCCTGAGTGGAAGACTGCCCTATCCCCTTCCAAAACTGACATTGCCAACCACAAGTGGCTTGACATTGTCAAGTGTTGATGTGACTACCACCAGTTGGGCCTCCCTATGCCCCATGTGGTGCCAACACCAACACCACCTGCTCAAGAGACCAAAATGCCTATGAGTGACAAAGGAAAACAGAAAGTGACTGAAGCAGAGGTGGAGCAAATGATAGTGGATAGCTCACACAGGATGGAGGTGGATGATGAGGGTGAAGATGAGGTGCCAGAGAAGGAGGATGATGAGGAAGAACCAGTGCAAGGCAGGCAGAAGCACAAAGCTGCCACGAAAATGATGTCCCATCAATCCAGACATCGATCCCACTCTAGGAAGGCAACAGCAGAAACCAATGATGACAACAATGTTCCCACTCAAGGCCAATGAAACACAAGCCTCATCCACTGTCAGATGGACTATATGGTCACACTGCCATAGCTGCTAGAAGGATGCCTTCCCCTGAATCTCATTCCTGTGAGTCATGCCACAGACACAAGGTCTGATACTACAAGAACCCTGGGAAGTCCTGCTTCCCATGCAACAGTCACAAGATTCAATGTAGCCATGCCAAAGGCAGGATTGCCACTCCAACTCAACAGAATCCATTGTGAGCCAGGGGAAAAAAATGAGCTTGAAGTCTGTCCCTGATGATGGAGGCCAAAGAATCCCAAAGCCCAAAGGAACATCCCCCAAAGCAACACATTTCAATGGCTTCCAAAGCTGTCAATGCTGGGGTTGGGCCCTCCAACCAGGGAGAGACAATCCCTGAGGGATCTTCACTCAGTATGTTCACAATTTCATGTATTTACACTGACTCAAATTTTATTCAGAGATTCATATTCCTGCATTCAAACACAGGGATTCCCACCCAATCCCAGCTGCTGTATGAGCAGATTCAATCATTGAGGCTGGCCCATCCATTGCACAGGAGGTAGAGGAATCTACAGCAGCAGGTACATTTAATCACTCTACATTTATGCTAATTATTGCAGTTAACCCTTGTATTCAAAGCAGACACCCACCCATCGACAACAGCAGCACCCATCCAACTCACAACTGCTGCAACTCCCAGTGCACCATCACCTGTCTGTGCCCCAATTGCTGAGGTGTTGCAAACATCTAACACAATCGAAGAGTGAATCGAAGATTTGGAATGTCGACTCTGCAATGCTGAGGCCCACTACCAATACTATGAGGATTGAATGTATGATTTCCAAATACAACAGGATAAAACCATGCAGATGCTGGGCAGGATGGCTTGTGAGCTGGAGGCTCTGTGTATTCAGGTATATGGACGAGCATTGGGTGATGATCTCATCAATCTCTTAGGGCCTCTGGCAGATGAGACAAGGGCAGATGGGACAGCAGGGTGAACAAGGCTGTCTATCATTTTACTCCTCCATGGTACATATGATGTCATTTTGTATTTCCATTTTAATTGACCACTCCTGCTGCATCATATATTCAACCTTTATTTAAGAGTGAGAAAAAGAAAATAATGGCTAGACAGCCAACAGAATTGCGAAGGATAATCTCATTCCACTAAAACAACTGCTAATGTATCCTGATAGGCAGAAGCTTAGTGAATGCATGGCTTTGTGATGTAGAATAGTTAACTTGAAACTTAAAAAATGAGATAGTGGGATGGTCTCATTCTGCTAAAACTGGAGCTGATGGAACCTGATAGACAGAACCTTTGCAAATGAATGGACAGTGTGATATGCAATAGCAACCTGCCATCTGACACAAATGCAATTAATAGTCTGATTTGGCCAACACATCTGAGTCTACTAATATGGCCACTGATGAATCCCAATAGATGGACACCTGGCAAATGAGTGGGCTATGCTATTTGCAGTGTTCACTTGGGAGTTACAAAACAAGATAATGGCTAATAATAGGATAACAATGCAAAGAAAGATGTCAGCCTGCAAAAACAGCATTCTGTGGATCCCAATATATGGAACCCTTCCAAATGAGCAGCCTGCACAATATGCAAGGTTGATATGGACTGTCTTGACCTGCTAACATGGCATTTGATGGATCCTGATAGACAGAACCCTTCAAAATGAGTGGACTATGTGAGATGCAAGGCTGACAGCAATTGGTCATTGGATGCAAATGCAAAGCAATATTCTCATTGCACTAATGTAGGATCCAAGGTATGCCCACAGGTGGGACATGTGCAAATGAGCAGA